CATATCAAAAAGAAATAAAAAAAAACTCAGTGTCGTCTAAGGATAACGCTGGTCGAACGGCTATAACATTGTCAAGCGGTTATTCCGGTTTTTGGTTAAGAACGGGACGTCACAAGTAAGTCGGCTCAACACCCCACCCACCCACCACGGTGAACGGGTTAACAATTACTCGCCAGACAACGGTACTAAAGCCTGAACCATTGCCGACATGAAACAACTAACAACAGGGTGGAGGACGAGCGGTCTGATTCGGATGGAAGCATCAAGCCCAGAAATGGCACAAACACTAGAATTCAGTCACGAAAGTGACGCAAATAACCCAGACCACAAATATAGGCGGAGACTGTTATCAGCCTCGGCTAGCTAGCAGCAGTCTGAAAGTGGTCGACCTTTTTTTTTTTTTTTCTTAAAAGAAATCTGAATCGGAAACCGACAATAATTTACTAACCTGGAGAAAAGGGGGGAAGATAGGCATGCTACAATGAAAATTGCCAACTTCTTCTTCTTCTTCTTCTTCTTCTTCTTCTTCTTCTTCTTCTTCTTCTTCTTCTTCTTCTTCTTCTTCTTCTTCTTCTTCTTCTTCTTCTTCTTCTTCTTCTTCTTCTTCTTCTTCTTCTTCTTCTTCTTCTTCTTCTTCTTCTTCTTCTTCTTCTTCTTCTTCTTCTTCTTCTTCTTCTTCTTCTTCTTCTTCTTCTTCTTCTTCTTCTTCTTCTTCTTCTTCTTCTTCTTCTTCTTCTTCTTCTTCTTCTTCTTCTTCTTCTTCTTCTTCTTCTTCTTCTTCTTCTTCTTCTTCTTCTTCTTCTTCTTCTTCTTCTTCTTCTTCTTCTTCTTCTTCTTCTTCTTCTTCTTCTTCTTCTTCTTCTTCTTCTTCTTCTTCTTCTTCTTCTTCTTCTTCTTCTTCTTCTTCTTCTTCTTCTTCTTCTTCTTCTTCTTCTTCTTTCTTCTTCTTCTTCTTCTTCTTCTTCTTTCTTCTTCTTCTTCTTCTTCTTCTTCTTCTTCTTCTTCTTCTTCTTCTTCTTCTTCTTCTTCTTCTTCTTCTTCTTCTTCTTCTTCTTCTTCTTCTTCTTCTTCTTCTTCTTCTTCTTCTTCTTCTTCTCTTCTTCTTCTTCTTCTTCTTCTTCTTCTTCTTCTTCTTCTTCTTCTTCTTCTTCTTCTTCTTCTTCTTCTTCTTCTTCTTCTTCTTCTTCTTCTTCTTCTTCTTCTTCTTCTTCTTCTTCTTCTTCTTCTTCTTCTTCTTCTTCTTCTTCTTCTTCTTCTTCTTCTTCTTCTTCTTCTTCTTCTTCTTCTTCTTCTTCTTCTTCTTCTTCTTCTTCTTCTTCTTCTTCTTCTTCTTCTTCTTCTTCTTCTTCTTCTTCTTCTTCTTCTTCTTCTTCTTCTTCTTCTTCTTTCTTCTTCTTCTTCTTCTTCTTCTTCTTCTTCTTCTTCTTCTTCTTCTTCTTCTTCTTCTTCTTCTTCTTCTTCTTCTTCTTCTTCTTCTTCTTCTTCTTCTTCTTCTTCTTCTTCTTCTTCCTCCTCCTCTCCTCTTTCTTCTTCTTCTTCTTCTTCATCATCTTCTTCTTTGTTCACCAGATGTAAGTTCCAGGGAAAAGTCCTGGTTACTTGGACTTAAGATTTGTGGCATGGCCCGAGTTTTTCGTGTACATTCGTTTTGTATGCCATTGATTGTTGTTTGCCGCTCAGACAGATGTACTCCGACTTCGAAGAAAGCTCCCAGTTAGTCGACTCCTACGACATGCTTGTTGGGGAGGCATTGGGTCTACATAATAGGGCCCTGAAACCCACACGGTGAGACAGTATCTAAGATGAGGACATTTAATCAGAACTACAGAATATCAGTGTACGTTCTACTCTCGAAATTAATCCAGTGAACCTTAATTAAAAAGCTTAACGAAATGAATATGTAGAACAACGTGCACAAAAACACACAAATCGACGTTTTGGCCGGGTCTTTTTAGTCGCTTTTGTTATCACCACTTTTTGGATGTTCACATTAAGTTTGGCTTCAGTCACCCCCTGTTTTCTCTCTTCTCGAGCTTATTTCCAAGTTTTACATGTACAAAACAGCAGACTCTGGTTGAACAGATGGGTCATGAGAGACACTGGAAGAGAGGTTTATAGACATATGGCTGGCCCTGATCTTAATGAAAGCATTAACCACCTAACAAGAAGGGACCAGGCCACCATCTTCAGACTTAGAACACAACATACTCCACTCAGTGGACATCTAAACAGAATACAGCCACAGCACTCCCCAGAGTGCCAGCTATGTAACTACCCCTACGAAACTGTTGAACACCATCTCTTTGAGTGTCCAAAACTCAACGAGACTAAAAGAATGCTACTCCCTTCGAGACCAGACAAGTGGAACACTTTGTACGGAGGAAAAGAACAGCTTGTGAAGACATGTAAATTCCACTACATGGCAGTGGGCCAAAGGGCGAAAGCTCATGCGCTGCTGGATCTATAACAACAACAACCACAGACTTTTGGCGGTGACGTCCTTGTAAAACCATGCTGTCCTGGTGAAAAACGGGACGTGTTGTCACTCTAAGCAGATCTTAAATCCTTCCCCCCCCCCCCCCCCCGGTAAAAAAAAAAACCGACTCCGCGGAGTGATAAATACAGGCAGTGTTGGAAGTCACCCTTACTGGATATTGGGTCCTCGAGAAAAGTAGTGCACTGTGAGTAAAGAGGCCATTTTCACACCTTCAGGCGTATTGCTAGGTCTATATTTTTTAGACCAATGGGCATTAGGTCGGTGACCTTGTCTACATCACGCCCATCGCCTTTACTTCCCAGAACATAACTTGGTACGCTTGTAAGGCTGGGTCGATATGGCAGCCAAGGTCATTGCGTGCGCGCGCGTGTGTGTGAGTGCGCATGTGTCGGGAAAAAAGTCCAGCTCTGTCAGAACTTGAACTCACAATCTTCCAGTCCACAGGCGAGTGTCAAACCGCTACACCACATTGGCTTCCAGCGCACGCTGTCGTGTCTAAAAAGCCACTGACTTCAGTTGAGCTGAGAACTGATATAGCACTCAGGACTATCCCATAAGTGATCTGTACCCCACCTTCAGCAGTCAGCGTAGAAATGTTCAAAGCGGGCGTGTGCATAGACAGGGCCCCGGGTGAAGCAATATACCGGTCTCTGCCTAGACAAACTTCTCAGGGCAAAACGGTGTGACCTTTGCATTGACTCAGCGAGGCAGCTGCTCGCTATGCTTGTGTGAGACATTAGTGATCATTACAATTGCCAACCCACGTTCGTTGTGCCTCTCATGAGGGAAGTGCATCGTGATAACGCGAGTACATCGTGAGATCTGGAATACATCATGACGAAAGAAATTCATGCATTGTGACAGCAGGGGTTCACCGTGACAACAGGGGTACATTGTGACAACAGGGGTACATTGTGACAACTGGGGTACATTGTGACAACATGGGTACATTGTGACAACAGGGGTACATTGTGACAACAAGTGTGTATTAAGACAACAGGGGTTTATCGTGACAACAAGGGTACATTTGACAATAAGTGTACATTGTGACAGCAGGAGTACACCGTGACAACAGGGTTCACTGTCACAATAGAGATACACCGCAACAACAGGGGTTCACCGTCACAATAGGGGTACATCGTTTCAACAAGGGTACATCGTGACAACAAGGGGACACAGTGACAAGGGGACATCGTGACAACACGGGACATTGTGACAACAAGGGGACATCGTGACAACAAGGGGACATTGTGACAACAAGGGGACATCGTGACAACAAGGGGACATCGTGACAACAAGGGGACATCTTGACAACAAGGGGACATCGTGACAACAAGGGGACATCGTGACAACAAGGGTACATCTTGACTACAAGGGGACATCTTGACAACAAGGGGACATTGTGACAACAAGGGGACATCTTGACAACAAGGGGACATTTTGACAACAAGGGGACATCGTGACAACAAGGGGACATCTTGACAACAAGAGGACATCTTGACAACAAGGGAAAATTGTGACAACAAGGGGACATCGTGACAACAAGGGGACATCGTGACAACAAGGGGACATTGTGACAACAAGGGGACATTGTGACAACAAGGGGACATCGTGACAACAAGGGGACATCTTGACAACAAGGGGACATCGTGACAACAGGGGGACATCTTGACAACAAGGGGACATCGTGACAACAAGGGGACATCGTGACAACAAGGGGACATCGTGACAACAAGGGGACATCGTGACAACAAGGGGACATCTTGACAACAAGGGGACATTTTGACAACAAGGGTACCTCGTGACAACAAGGGGACATCTTGACAACAAGGGGACATTGTGACAACAAGGGTACCTCGTGACAACAAGGGGACATTGTGACAACAAGGGGACATTGTGACAACAAGGGGACATTGTGACAACAAGGGGACATCGTGACAACAAGGGTAAATCGTGACAACAAGGGGACATCGTGACAACAAGGGTACATCGTGACAAGGGTACATCGTGACAAGGGGACATCGTGACAAGGGTACATTGTGACAACAATAGGACATCGTGACAACAAGGGTACATCGTGACAACAAGGGTACATCGTGACAAGGGGACATCGTGAGAAGGGTACATTGTGACAACAAGGGGACATCATGACAACAAGGGGACATTGTGACAACAAGAGTACATCGTGACAACAAGGGTACATCGTGACAACAAGTATACATCGTGACAACAAGGGTACATCGTGGTGGCCCAGGATAAGTGTGCTATATATGGCTGAACGGTTGAGAAAGATTTCCAGGATTTGTGCCTCATCCGTGAGATGGTAATCCCACAGACATCAATTCTTGTGGGGGGGGGGGGGGGGGCTGCTTAAAATGGCAGCCAAACTCAAATGTGGAGACTGCATTTTTTTTAATTATTAAAAAAATATATATATATATATTTCTTTTATATATTACTCTAACTTTTAAATCTATTTTTTCAGCCAATGAAACTGTCAGCCATGTTGACGAGTATCAAGAAAATTGTGGTCTACCTCAGCGTTACTTGTGTACTCCTTATTGTGGTGGAGGAGTGCTTCTACAGAACCCACACAGGCAGCACCAGACCTCACTTAAGCCACCTGGAAAGTTCTAGATCTCTCACATATACCCAGCTTCTCAGAAACTCAACTTCACTTGAAACCTCATCTCCTCCTGTCACCTATAATATAGACAGACAGACAGCAGACGTTATAACAGACGATGAAGAGTTTAGCGATGCACGGGAAAAGTCTCCGGCAAGACTTCCTATTTCTGTCCAAAGAAATAATAGTTTCAAAATCAAGAATCCACGTCCTGAAGTAGGTGAGACGAGGGACAACACAGCCAGAAACAAGACAGTTACCAGTCCAGCAGTTGACCTACTTGAGACAGAGCTTGAGGAAGAACGCAGACTCCGACAGTCGCCATTTATTCGTTTCCAGGATTTTACTGAAAACACGTAAACTTGTATAATGTCTTGTCTGTTCTTCCGGTAGCGTAGCTGTAAATGGGCCAATTATCACCATCATCATTATCATAATGTAGCAGGTCCTTTGCTAAACGTCGCTCTCATCACGGCCTGCCTGAAAGAAACCCGCCTCATGAACTTTCCTATCCAAAAAGTCACTTATATCCTGTGCCCATCTTCCTGTTGGTCGGCCCCTGCCCCTCCTTCCTGGTTCTACGCTTTCTGTTTTTATTTCTTCTTTTCTTTGTCGGTGAGAGGGAGTGACGGAGTGAAGACGCTTGTTTATGCTTTTGGGCATATAGGGCTAGACCTGTGTTTTATAGACCAATCTGCGCTTGATGTGTAATGTATCAGCATTTTGTCGGCCGCCTTAACTTTCCATGTCTACACCTGGCATCCACTCAAGGCTGGGTCGACCTTGGAGGGTGTCAATCAGACTTTGAAGAAAACATTTTCAATTTGAGGCCCTTCATGGCATGCTTTATAGGGGGCAATGAGTCGATTTTTGTTTACTACATATTGAGGCTCCTGGATCTACAGGTTAGTTGCGTATCCTTTACAGGACGTTGCAGAACCAACCCCAACAGCCCCTGGCTGTTGTTTAATTTTTCTAGGCAAATTTACTTTCAGTAGTTTGCCATTGCTTACTGGACGGTCGGCTTTCTTGATACCACTGCCGAAACCAACGCAAAGCGCATGGCCTGCAGCTGGGATCGAACCCGGCATCCCGGCATTACGAAGGGTTCGCATCGACTTAGCCCCAGGGCCGACACACCTACCTACCTACTTACTAATATATCGGGGCGGGGGGGGGAGAACACTAAAGCACAGATAATATTGGTCGTACACACATGTACACACAATGTACACACTAACTAGCTATACGCAGCAATTTGTTGCCCCACAACACGACTGACTGCCTGTAAACAGGACAGTGTGTCTATCCAGACCAAGTATGGGACACACCAGATTCACCAACATATGTTGAGGTGTAGGAAACATGGAGATGTATCCTTGCAACTTGGCACCTGAAGATGCTGATACTCTATCGCTGCAAACTGTACTTTGAAATGAGACTCAATCTGGCATGTTCAAACCTCAGTCAAGACAAAGCTTTTTGCATACACGTGCGTGCATACTGAGCGTTTTAATGAACATGCCCAAGATACTGCAGGCCGGCTTCGTCAGAATCGAATGGATTCTGTCATTAAAAGCATTCCGAATAACTAGCCCAACCTTTATCCTCTTGCCTTACCATGTAGGTGTTCAAGGCAGTGAGCGTGCAGATATCTGACAGACCAGGCGGTTACCCCGACTGACCAGGCACTGGACAGGAGTGATGTCATTAGTGCCATGCGAGCTGCATATTGTAAAGAAGATCACTACAGCAAGCAGGACTTAGTATTCTTGTCTAGGTTGGCGGACATAGAGATGCAACCTGGAGTAGCCAAACATTTCTCCAAGGACACAAGGCGTGTGGTTGATCAACACTGAACAGGCGTCATCAGTCGTTTTACTCTTGTGGAGCTAATAAAGGGGAGATCGGAGCACCAATGGATCTGTCCGGAGTGCTGTGATAGTAGTCCTCACTACATCACTAAAACTGCATGACAATTTTTGCCCCACAACCGGCTTCTGCGTCCTTGATCCCGTTCTAGAGCCATTTCCAGCAGGCGGTTTATTATCGCCGACTTGTTCGCACTGGATATAGACTTTCTCACACTACTGATTTTGTATTCCTCGACGTTATCCGCCCGCTTGTCTCTCTCTCTCTCTCTCTCTCTCTCTCTCTCTCTCTCTCTCTTTCTCTCTCTCTTCTCTCTCTCTCTCTCTCTCTCTCTCTCTCTCTCTATATATATATATATATATATATATATATATATATATATATATATATATCTTTCTCTCTCTCTTCTCTTCTCTCTCTCTTTCTCTTTCTCTCTCTCTCTCTCTCTCTCTCTCTCTCTCTCTCTCTTTCTCTCTCTCTTTCTCTCTCTCTCTCTTTCTTTCTCTCTCTTCTCTCTCTCTCTCTCTCTCTCTCTTCTCTCTCTTCTCTCTCTCTTCTCTCTCTCTCTCTTTCTCTCTCTCTCTCTCTCTCTCTCTTTCTCTCTCTTTCTCTCTCTCTCTTTCTCTCTCTCTCTCTCTCTCTCTCTCTCTCTCTCTCTCTCTCTCTCTCTCTCTCTCTCTCTCTCTCTTACATTTAAATGTCATTACTTTGTTACAAATAAAGAGTGTCAATCTTGTGTTCGTCGTATTTTAGAAGCTCGTCCTCCGATGTATCGACATCCGTGAAGCTGATCTCCTATTTCCGGCCAGATGATTCCACGACGTTTCTGCCAAAAAGGTGTGTATCACGTGACTGTTCTGTGGTTCTTGTATGTTGGCTCATGGCTGTTGTGTGTTTCTGTGTTATTCTTTATTATCTGTGATTTTTTTTATGGGACGTCAAAGCTTCATATAATTATTAAGTGAATGACCCTTTCCACGTGTAATTGGCGTATAGGTTAGTTAGTTGCGTATCCTTTACAGAACGTTGCAGAACCAACCCCAACAGCCCCCTGGCTGTGTGGTTTTTCTGGGCAAATTTACGTTAAGTAGTTTGCCATTGCTTTCTGGACGGTCAGCTTTCTTGATTTCACTGTCGAAACCAACGCAAGGCACATAGCCCGCAGCAGGGATCGAACCCGGCATCCCAGCATTACTAAGCGTTTGCATCGACTTAGCCACAAAGCCGACGGGTGTATAGGGCGAGATCTATATTTTAGAGAGCAATCGGTACTTGGTGGGTGATGTGGTCAGCATGACGCCGGTCGCATTTACTTCCCAGGACTGTACCTGGTACCTATTTAAGGCTAGACCAACCTGAGCGCCAAAACAAAACCCAAAAAAAAAATTAAAAGTCTGGCTCCATAATGGCCGGAACCGGCGACCTTTAGATTCACAGAAGAGCATCATGTCCCGCTTGCATACATCTGTAATATATTGTAAGTGAACGTAATATTATAATTACTAACCTTTTAAAAAGTCGTCCCCTTGTGGGATACATTTTTTATTTTTTTATATTTTTTTATTATTTTCAAACCCCACCTTGGCTTTTGCGGGGGGGGGGGGGAGGGGGGGGCTGAATATAGCTTGGCCGCCGTAAAGGTGGCCTAGCCATAGATATGGCCTTAACGGCTAAAAAGCGATTCTAGGACCTCTCCACGGGTGATCCTCATCCGCATGGTGGCACTTTGTGTCACCGGGTGTTTATCGCTTGTGTGATGTCCTGGTGGGGTACACCTACCTACCTACCTACCTACCTACCTGCATACCTGCCTACCTACCTGCCTGCCTACCTACCTACCTACCTGTCTTCCTGCCTACCTACCTGCCTACCTATCTACCTACCTGCCTGCCTACCTACCTACCTACCTACCTACCTGCCTACCTACCTGCCTACCTACCTACCTACCTACCTACCAATACTAGCCTGCCTTGTTATTATTGTGTGTTTTTTTTGTGTTTTTTTTTTTTTTGCTGACACTACAGCTATGTTATTGACTAACCTTACTGTCATTGTTGGGTTTACTGTCATTGTTGGGTTTACTGTCATTGTTGGGTTTACTGTCATGCTGAGTGTTATTTCGATGTCACCCTGACAGCTTCAGCATATGTCAGTACAAGTGTCGTTATGTGAGAAACATGTCGCGGGCCGACGCTGTCTTGTTCCAGGCGTCTTTGATCCGAGACAACGTCATCCCTGATTTCTACAGACCCCCTGGTCAAAGGTGAGTATGGGCTATGTCGTGTGACGTCAGCGTGATTGTTGTATGTAGGTTAGACAAACATATAGATTGTAGCATTGTCAGACAGACAGATAGATTGTAATATCATGGTGTGGAGGTTAAACAAGCAGAGAGATTGTAGAATCATTGTGTGGAGGTTAAACAGACACATAGATTGTAGTATTAGTGTGTCTAGGTTAAACAGACATATATATTATCTTATTGTGTGGAGATTAAACAGACAGACAAATTGTTGTTTCATTGTGTGGTGGTTAAACGGACAGACATATTGCAGTAATGTTGTGTATTGGTTATACATACAGATACATTGTAGCACTGTTGTAAGTAGGTTATACATACAGATACATTGTAGCACTGTTGTAAGTAGGTTATACATGTAGATTGTAGTACTCTTGTGTGAAGGTTACGCAGATCGTATGTAGTTTTGTTGTGTGTAGGTTATACAGACAGACATATGTAGTATTATTGCATGTATGTTAAACACACAAGCGACACGCATATTGTTGTGTGTAAGTTAGACAGACAAGTAGCCTGGGAAGTAATTGTGTGTTTAGATTTGAGGAACTGATATACTGAAGCAATGTTGTGTATAGGTTAGACATACTTTTACATTATTGTTTATTGTATAGATTGGACAGAACAACAGACTGCTATGTATGTATCAAAACAGATAGACAGAAAGGTAGAATTATCGTAAAACATTTGTAAGGTCTGAGAGTCAGGATTATGTGGCCAAGAGAATTGGGCAAACATCGGTTATTAGATGATAAAAACGCACATACCGAAAGGTAAATTAATAATAATAATAAAAATAATTATTAGTATTAGAAATGTAGGCTTTCCTCCGAATAACGGGCACATATTATGGCGGCCAAAACACCCTGATAGGGCCTCAGTCACAGGTAAATTGCGGACTTCCGGCGACTACTAGATGACGATAGTCACCGAAAGTGCGAAATTTAAGTCACCGGAAGTCCTCATTTTACACGTGACTGAGGCCCTGTTAGGGTGTGTTTTGGGCCGCCATAATATGTGCCCGTTATTCGGAGGATAGCCGAATTTTATTCACATTGTTCATTTATCAATTTATTTATTCATCCATTCATTAGCTGACCGACTGATTTTTTTCCCCATTGGTTGATCGATTCAGTGATAGAATAGACCATTTATTACAAGGAATTTAATACAACACAAACTGCGACTGAAAAGCTCAGTGGACAGAATGGAAAATACACGCAAAAATACAACCAGGAAATTCTACCAAAGGCTATCAGTGGAGTACTGAATACAACCTAACTGTGACAACAACAACAACAACAAAGAACTCAATAGGCAAGACAACAGAGTTTACAAACAGCCACGGTCAACATGAAAACAGAAAAATGTAATAGGATAAAATATGGGATCAGGAGTTATATTTCGGAATGCAACAAATAAAATACAACTGCAAAATGGGGAAGAAAATGAATATCAAAAAGTTATAAATACAAGACAAACTATGGCAAGAAAGTTGAAGAGTGTTGTGTGGTTAAGCCTGTTGTGGAAAGGATGCAACACGGTAATGAAGTATACATGTCTGAACAATCGAAAGATTTATATATCGTCTGATTCACTGATTTGTCAATTTATTGATTGTTTCCTTGCTTGACTGTTGATATGAACCAACAGGTGGGTCTTTTTCACAAGCGACCCAGCAATCAAACAATATGAATTGGAGAGGCCAGATGTTAAGTCGCAGTTTAACTGGACTGTAACTTATCAGCTGGACTCGGATTTTCCGTCACCATTTGGTTATCTACAAAAGCGAAAACCACCAGTACGGAATTATGGTAGGTCGTATGTGGAATGTGGTTTCTGAGACGAATGTTACGAATATCTTGGATGGCTAGAGTAACTAACAACGATTGCATGAAAGAGGCTAATGAAAGTAGATCTCTATATACAGTAAGAAAGAGACAAACACAGTTCTTTGGCCACGCAATGAGAAGAGAGACATTGGAGAACATCGTGATAACTGGAAAGATCAGTGAAAAAGGGGTAGAGTCAGACCAAGAGAAATGATGCTGGAGGGGCTGAAACGATGGCATGGAAGGATATCATCAAGAGAGCTGTTCCAGGCAACCAGGGATCGTGATCTGTGGGGACGCATGAGCCCCACGCCAGTTTACAGGGCACATGATGATGATGATGATGATGAGTATGTGGAACAGATGGAAGTCCTCAGTTTGTGGTTGTTATTGTAGTATATGGTGAAATGGAAGTTTTTGTTGAGGCGTCTAGGGTATGCTAAATGTGGGGAGTTGTAAACACTCACTGTAAGGTTGTTTATGGCAGTATTTAGCGAGATGGAAGCCCACCGTGTAAGGTTGTTTATGGCAGTATTTGGGGAGATGGAAGCCCTTAGTGTAAGCTTATGGCAGTATTCGGGGAGATTGAAGCCTTTAGTGTAAGGTTATGGCAGTATTCGGGGAGATGGAAGCCCTCAGTGTAAGGTTATGGCAGTATTTGGGGAGATTAAAGCCCTCAGTGTAAGGTTATGGCAGTATTCGGGGAGATTGAAGCCCTCAGTTTAAGGTTATGGCAGTATTTGGGGAGATGGAAGCCCTCAGTGTAAGGTTATGGCAGTATTCGGGGAGATTGAAGCCCTCAGTTTAAGGTTATGGCAGTATTTGGGGAGATGGAAGCCCTCAGTGTAAGGTTATGGCAGTATTTGGGGAGATGGAAGCCCTCAGTGTAAGGTTATGGCAGTATTCGGGGAGATGGAAGCCTTCAGTGTAAGGTTATGGCAGTATTCGGGCAGATGTAAGCTCTTAGTGTAAGGTTATGGCAGTATTCGGGGAGATGTTATCCCTCAGTTTAAGGTTATGGCAGTATTTGGGGAGATGGAAGCCCTCAGTGTAAGGTTATGGCAGTATTTGGGGAGATGGAAGCCCTCAGTGTAAGGTTATGGCAGTATTCGGGGAGATGGAAGCCTTCAGTGTAAGGTTATGGCAGTATTCGGGCAGATGTAAGCTCTTAGTGTAAGGTTATGGCAGTATTCGGGCAGATGTAAGCTCTTAGTGTAAGGTTATGGTAGTATTCGGGGAGATGGAAGCCTTCAGTGTAAGGTTACGGCAGTATTCGGGCAGATGTAAGCTCTTAGTGTAAGGTTATGGCAGTATTCGGGGAGATGGAAGCTTTCAGTGTAAGGTTATGGCAGTATTCGGGGAGATGGAAGCCTTCAGTGTAAGGTTATGGCAGTATTCGGGGAGACTGAAGCCCTCGGTGTAAGGTTATGGCAGTATTCGGGGAGATGGAAGCCCTGAGTGTAAGGTTATGGCAGTATTCGGGGAGATGGAAGCCCTGAGTGCAAGGTTATGGCAGTATTTGGGGAGATGGAAGCCCTCTGTGTAAGGTTATGGCAGTATTTGGGGAGATGGAAGCCCTCAGTGTAAGGTTATGGCAGTATTCGGGGAGATGGAAGCCTTCGGTGTAAGGTTATGGTAGTATTCGGGGAGATGGAAGCCCTCAGTGTAAGGTTATGGCAGTATTCGGGGAGACCACCTCGGTGTACGGATATGGCAGTATTCGGGGAGATTGAAGCCTTTAGTGTAGGCTTATGGCAGTATTTGGGGAGATGGAAGCCCTCAGTGTAAGGTTATGGCAGTATTCGGGGAGATGGAAGCCCTCAGTGTAAGGTTATGGCAGTATTCGGGGAGACCCCCTCGGTGTACGGATATGGCAGTATTCGGGGAGATGGAAGCTTTCAGTGCAAAGTTATGGCAGTATTTGGGGAGATGCTCTACAATGAAGTCGCTGTGGCCGAGCGGCTAGATGCTCGCCGGGGATCGGAAGGTCGTGGGTTCGCTCCCTGAAGGAGCCGGACTATTTTCAAAAATGACCTTGACTCCCAGGTTGACCCAGCCTTGAGTGGGTACCGGGTGCAGTCCCGGGAATTAAAGGCGGCCAGCGTGATGCTGACCACATCACCCATCTTGTGCCGTTGGTCTATAAAAATATAGGTCTAGCCCTATATGCCCTATACGCCTAAAGGCGTGGGAAAGGGTCCTTTACTTTTACTTTACTTACTTACTACAATGAAAATTCCAACTGATACATTTCCAGCAATAAAAGTATCTAAATCAATGAAATGTAATACTATCGGCATAAGTGTATGTTCTGTTCTCTAGCTAATTTCTAGGGAGGGGAAGTCGAGCCCTTCTGGTGAAAACGGTTATCCGAATAGTAGACTAACCGGACTCAAAGGTTGTAAGCTTGATAAAGTCTCAGTGCTGATGATAAACCAACCGGGAAAGTCAGGATACCCAGTTCAGACTGCAAGAAAGTTATCATTAGAGAACGCAAAACGACCTACTAGCCCCGTGTAACCTGCATCTTGTCCTGTGTGTCCTTCTGTCCTACTAGCTCTGTGTAACCTGCATCTTGTCCGGTGTGTCCTTCTGTCCTACTAGCTCCGTGTAACCTCCATGTTGTCCTGTGTGTCCTTTTGTCCTACTAGCTCTGTGTAACCTGCATCTTGTCCGGTGTGTCCTTCTGTCCTACTAGCTCCGTGTAACCTCCATGTTGTCCGGTGTGTCCTTCTGTCCTACTAGCTCTGTGTAACCTGCATCTTGTCCAATGTGTCCTTCTATCCTACTAGCTCCGTGTAACCTGCATCTTGTCCGGTGTGTCCTTCTGTCCTACTATCTCCGTGTAACCTGCATCTTGTCCGGTGTGTCCTTCTGTCCTACTAGCTCCATGTAACCTGCATCTTGTCCAGTGTGTCCTTCTGTCCTACTAGCTCCATGTTGTCCATTGTGTCCTTCTGTCCTACTAGCTCCATGTTGTCCAGTGTGTCCTTCTGTCCTACTAGCTCTATGTTGTCCAGTGTGTCCTTCTGTCCTACTAGCTCCATGTTGTCCAGTGTTTCCTTATGTCCTACTAGCTCCGTATAACCTGCATCTTGTCCAGTGTGTCCTTCTATCCTACTAGCTCCATGTTGTCCAGTGTGTCCTTCTGTCCTGCTAGCTCCATGTTGTCCAGTGTGTCCTTCTGTCCTACTAGCTCCGTGTAACCTGCATCTTGTCCAGTGTGTCCTTCTGTCCTACTAGCTCCATGTTGTCCAGTGTGTCCTTCTGTCCTACTAGCTCCATCTTGTCCAGTGTGTCCTTCTGTCCTACTAGTTCCATGTTGTCCAGTGTGTCCTTCTGTCCTACTAGCTCCATCTTGTCCAGTGTGTCCTTCTGCCCTACTAGCTCCATGTTGTCCAGTGTGTCCTTCTGTCCTACTAGCTCCATGTTGTCCAGTGTGTCCTTCTATCCTACTAGCTCCATGTTGTCCAGTGGGTCCTTTTATCTTTCCATGTTGTCTAGCATGTCCTTTCTACTTCTTTGTGCGAGTGCCGATCAATACATTGTCTTGTTTGCTTATTTATTATATATAATGTTTCTTATCACAAGCAGAGTTGATATTAACTTTTTCATAATACTATAACCACGAACTGCGTTTCCCAGACACTGTGTTTGACAGAAAGAACAAGATGGCAGCCTGGTTCGTCAGCCACTGTTCCACCTGGGGTAAGAGAGAGCTCTATGTGCAGAGAATGCGTAAAATCATCCAGGTGGACATATTTGGACAATGTGGAAACTTGTCATGCGGCCCCATCCACTACCGAATGAATGACAGCACGCAGTGTTTGCCCATGCTGACTCAACAATACAAGTATGATGCATTTATTGTTTCTTGTCTTTCTAGTCCGTAAATCTAATGTAAAGTGACACATCCATTTCGATTTAGATTTCCATATACAGATTTAAGGATAATATTGTACCCGCTAAACGAAGAATACCTTGTTTTAGCTGCACATGCGAAGAAACCTGGCCACTGTGTATAAAAAGGCCAACGCATCCGGGAGTGCCCGGTAATTAATACAAACCCACCGTCCTTTTTAGGATGAAATTTTTCCTTATTTGAAGCCCTACTCTGGCTCTTGCCAGGGGCCGCAATATAGCCATGCCATAAATATGGCCTAATGGCTGAACGCGGTTTCTGGGACCTCTCCACGGTAAACCTCATCCACATTGTGTCATCGGGTGTTTATCGGTTGTGTGATGTCATGGTGGGGTAGAAAGTCAGTCAGTCAGTCGGAAGTGCTCGGAAGTGGTATCAGAGAGCCGACCGTCCAGCAAGCAATGATAAACTACTGGACGTAAATTTGCCCAATTCTGCAACGTCCTGTAAAGGATACGCAACTAACTCTATTTTCTGTAATATTACCATTACCTCCGTTTTCCCTTAATTCAAGCTCAGGGCAGTTTGATCACTTTCTGTCGGCATCTGTAGCTTCAGCATTGCGTTTGTAATGATGGGGTGCCGGGTTCGCTATGTTGTAATGATGGGGTGCCGGGTTCGCTATGTTGTAATGATGGGGTGCCGGGTTCGCTATGTTGTAATGATGGGGTGCCGGGTTCGCTATGTTGTAATGATGGGGTGCCGGGTTCGCTATGTTGTAATGATGGGGTGCCGGGTTCGCTATGTTGTAATGATGGGGTGCCGGGTTCGCTATGTTGTAATGATGGGGTGCCGGGTTCGCTATGTTGTAATGATGGGGTGCCGGGTTCGCTATGTTGTAATGATGGGGTGCCGGGTTCGCTATGATGTAATGATGGGGTGCCGGGTTCGCTATGATGTAATGATGGGGTGCCGGGTTCGCTATGTTGTAATGATGGGGTGCCGGGTTCACTATGATGTAATGATGGGGTGCCGGGTTCGCTATGATGTAATGATGGGGTGCCGGGTTCGCTATGTTGTAATGATGGGGTGCCGGGTTCGCTATGTTGTAATGATGGGGTGCCGGGTTCGCTATGTTGTAATGATGGGGTGCCGGGTTCGCTATGTTGTAATGATGGGGTGCCGGGTTCGCTATGTTGTAATGATGGGGTGCCGGGTTCGCTATGATGTAATGATGGGGTGCCGGGTTCGCTATGATGTAATGATGGGGTGCCGGGTTCGCTATGTTGTAATGATGGGGTGCCGGGTTCACTATGATGTAATGATGGGGTGCCGGGTTCGCTATGATGTAATGATGGGGTGCCGGGTTCGCTATGTTGTAATGATGGGGTGCCGGGTTCGCTATGTTGTAATGATGGGGTGCCGGGTTCACTATGATGTAATGATGGGGTGCCGGGTTCGCTATGATGTAATGATGGGGTGCCGGGTTCGCTATGTTGTAATGATGGGGTGCCGGGTTCGCTATGTTGTAATGATGGGGTGCCGGTTCGCTATGTTGTAATGATGGGGTGCCGGGTTCGCTATGATGTAATGATGGGGTGCCGGGTTCGCTATGATGTAATGATGGGGTGCCGGGTTCGCTATGTTGTAATGATGGGGTGCCGGGTTCACTATGATGTAATGATGGGGTGCCGGGTTCGCTATGATGTAATGATGGGGTGCCGGGTTCGCTATGTTGTAATGATGGGGTGCCGGGTTCGCTATGTTGTAATGATGGGGTGCCGGGTTCGCTATGTTGTAATGATGGGGTGCCGGGTTCGCTATGTTGTAATGATGGGGTGCCGGGTTCGCTATGTTGTAATGATGGGGTGCCGGGTTCGCTATGATGTAATGATGGGGTGCCGGGTTCGCTATGATGTAATGATGGGGTGCCGGGTTCGCTATGTTGTAATGATGGGGTGCCGGGTTCACTATGATGTAATGATGGGGTGCCGGGTTCGCTATGATGTAATGATGGGGTGCCGGGTTCGCTATGTTGTAATGATGGGGTGCCGGGTTCGCTATGTTGTAATGATGGGGTGCCGGGTTCACTATGATGTAATGATGGGGTGCCGGGTTCGCTATGATGTAATGATGGGGTGCCGGGTTCGCTATGTTGTAATGATGGGGTGCCGGGTTCGCTATGTTGTAATGATGGGGTGCCGGGTTCGCTATGTTGTAATGATGGGGTGCCGGGTTCGCTATGATGTAATGATGGGGTGCCGGGTTCGCTATGTTGTAATGATGGGGTGCCGGGATCACTATGTTGTAATGATGGGGTGCCGGGTTCACTATGTTGTAATGATGGGGTGCCGGGTTCACTATGATGTAATGATGGGGTGCCGGGTTCACTATGATGTAATGATGGGGTGCCGGGTTCGCTATGATGTAATGATGGGGTGCCGGGTTCGCTATGTTGTAATGATGGGGTGCCGGGTTCACTATGATGTAATGATGGGGTGCCGGGTTCGCTATGATGTAATGATGGGGTGCCGGGTTCGCTATGTTGTAATGATGGGGTGCCGGGTTCGCTATGTTGTAATGATGGGGTGCCGGGTTCACTATGATGTAATGATGGGGTGCCGGGTTCGCTATGTTGTAATGATGGGGTGCCGGGTTCACTATGTTGTAATGATGGGGTGCCGGGTTCGCTATGATGTAATGATGGGGTGCCGGGTTCGCTATGTTGTAATGATGGGGTGCCGGGTTCACTATGATGTAATGATGGGGTGCCGGGTTCGCTATGATGTAATGATGGGGTGCCGGGTTCGCTATGTTGTAATGATGGGGTGCCGGGTTCGCTATGATGTAATGATGGGGTGCCGGGTTCGCTATGTTGTAATGATGGGGTGCCGGGTTCGCTATGTTGTAATGATGGGGTGCCGGTTTCGCTATGTTGTAATGATGGGGTGCCGGGTTCGCTATGTTGTAATGATGGGGTGCCGGGTTCGCTATGTTGTAATGATGGGGTGCCGGGTTCGCTATGTTGTAATGATGGGGTGCCGGGTTCGCTATGTTGTAATGATGGGGTGCCGGGTTCGCTATGTTGTAATGATGGGGTGCCGGGTTCGCTATGTTGTAATGATGGGGTGCCGGGTTCGCTATGTTGTAATGATGGGGTGCCGGGTTCGCTATGTTGTAATGATGGGGTGCCGGGTTCACTATGTTGTAATGATGGGGTGCCGGGTTCGCTATGTTGTAATGATGGGGTGCCGGGTTCGCTATGTTGTAATGATGGGGTGCCGGGTTCGCTATGTTGTAATGATGGGGTGCCGGGTTCGCTATGTTGTAATGATGGGGTGCCGGGTTCGCTATGTTGTAATGATGGGGTGCCGGGTTCGCTATGTTGTAATGATGGGGTGCCGGGTTCGCTATGTTGTAATGATGGGGTGCCGGGTTCGCTATGTTGTAATGATGGGGTGCCGGGTTCGCTATGTTGTAATGATGGGGTGCCGGGTTCGCTATGTTGTAATGATGGGGTGCCGGGTTCGCTATGTTGTAATGATGGGGTGCCGGGTTCGCTATGATGTAATGATGGGGTGCCGGGTTCGCTATGTTGTAATGATGGGGTGCCGGGTTCGCTATGTTGTAATGATGGGGTGCCGGGTTCACTATGTTGTAATGATGGGGTGCCGGGTTCGCTATGTTGTAATGATGGGGTGCCGGGTTCACTATGTTGTAATGATGGGGTGCCGGGTTCGCTATGTTGTAATGATGGGGTGCCGGGTTCGCTATGTTGTAATGATGGGGTGCCGGGTTCGCTATGTTGTAATGATGGGGTGCCGGGTTCGCTATGTTGTAATGATGGGGTGCCGGGTTCGCTATGTTGTAATGATGGGGTGCCGGGTTCACTATGTTGTAATGATGGGGTGCCGGGTTCGCTATGTTGTAATGATGGGGTGCCGGGTTCGCTATGATGTAATGATGGGGTGCCGGGTTCGCTATGTTGTAATGATGGGGTGCCGGGTTCGCTATGTTGTAATGATGGGGTGCCGGGTTCGCTATGTTGTAATGATGGGGTGCCGGGTTCGCTATGTTGTAATGATGGGGTGCCGGGTTCGCTATGTTGTAATGATGGGGTGCCGGGTTCGCTATGTTGTAATGATGGGGTGCCGGGTTCGCTATGTTGTAATGATGGGGTGCCGGGTTCGCTATGTTGTAATGATGGGGTGCCGGGTTCGCTATGTTGTAATGATGGGGTGCCGGGTTCGCTATGTTGTAATGATGGGGTGCCGGGTTCGCTATGTTGTAATGATGGGGGTGCCGGGTTCGCTATGTTGTAATGATGGGGTGCCGGGTTCGCTATGTTGTAATGATGGGGTGCCGGGTTCGCTATGTTGTAATGATGGGGTGCCGGGTTCGCTATGTTGTAATGATGGGGTGCCGGGTTCGCTATGTTGTAATGATGGGGTGCCGGGTTCGCTATGTTGTAATGATGGGGTGCCGGGTTCGCTATGTTGTAATGATGGGGTGCCGGGTTCGCTATGTTGTAATGATGGGGTGCCGGGTTCGCTATGTTGTAATGATGGGGTGCCGGGTTCGCTATGATGTAATGATGGGGTGCCGGGTTCGCTATGTTGTAATGATGGGGTGCCGGGTTCGCTATGTTGTAATGATGGGGTGCCGGGTTCGCTATGATGTAATGATGGGGTGCCGGGTTCGCTATGTTGTTTGGATAGGGTGCCGGGTTCGCTATGTTGTAATGATGGGGTGCCGGGTTCGCTATGATGTAATGATGGGGTGCCGGGTTCGCTATGTTGTTTGGAAGGGGTGCCGGGTTCGCTATGTTGTAATGATGGGGTGCCGGGTTCGCTATGATGTAATGATGGGGTGCCGGGTTCGCTATGTTGTAATGATGGGTTGCCGGGTTCGCTATGTTGTTTGGATGGGGTGCTGGGTTCGCTATGTTGTAATGATGGGGTGCTGGGTTCGCTATGTTGTAATGATGGGGTGCCGGGTTCGCTATGTTGTAATGATGGGGTGCCGGGTTCGCTATGTTGTAATGATGGGGTGCCGGGTTCGCTATGTTGTAATGATGGGGGTGCCGGGTTCGCTATGTTGTAATGATGGGGGTGCCGGGTTCGCTATGTTGTAATGATGGGGTGCCGGGTTCGCTATGATGTAATGATGGGGTGCCGGGTTCGCTATGTTGTAATGATGGGGTGCCGGGTTCGCTATGTTGTAATGATGGGGTGCCGGGTTCTCTATGATGTAATGATGGGGTGCCGGGTTCGCTGTTGTTTGGATGGGGTGCCGGGTTCGCTATGTTGTAATGATGGGGTGCCGGGTTCGCTATGATGTAATGATGGGGTGCCGGGTTCGCTATGTTGTTTGGATGGGGTGCCGGGTTCGCTATGTTGTAATGATGGGGTGCCGGGTTCGCTATGATGTAATGATGGGGTGCCGGGTTCGCTATGTTGTAATGATGGGTTGCCGGGTTCGCTATGTTGTTTGGATGGGGTGCTGGGTTCGCTATGTTGTAATGATGGGGTGCTGGGTTCGCTATGTTGTAATGATGGGGTGCCGGGTTCGCTATGTTGTAATGATGGGGTGCCGGGTTCGCTATGTTGTAATGATGGGGTGCCGGGTTCGCTCTGTTGTAATGATGGGGTGCCGGGTTCGCTATGTTGTTATCATGGGGTGCTGGGTTCGCTATGTTGTAATGATGGGGTGCCGGGTTCGCTATGTTGTAATGATGGGGTGCCGGGTTCGCTATGTTGTAATGATGGGGTGCCGGGTTCGCTATGTTGTAATGATGGGGTGCCGGGTTCGCTATGTTGTAATGATGGGGTGCCGGGTTCGCTATGTTGTAATGATGGGGTGCCGGGTTCGCTATGTTGTAATGATGGGGTGCCGGGTTCGCTATGTTGTAATGATGGGGTGCCGGGTTCGCTATGTTGTAATGATGGGGTGCCGGGTTCGCTATGTTGTAATGATGGGGTGCCGGGTTCGCTATGTTGTAATGATGGGGTGCCGGGTTCGCTATGTTGTAATGATGGGGTGCCGGGTTCGCTATGTTGTAATGATGGGGTGCCGGGTTCGCTATGTTGTAATGATGGGGTGCCGGGTTCGCTATGTTGTAATGATGGGGTGCCGGGTTCGCTATGTTGTAATGATGGGGTGCCGGGTTCGCTATGTTGTAATGATGGGGTGCCGGGTTCGCTATGTTGTAATGATGGGGTGCCGGGTTCGCTTTGTTGTAATGATGGGGTGCCGGGTTCGCTATGTTGTAATGATGGGGTGCCGGGTTCGCTATGTTGTAATGATGGGGTGCCGGGTTCGCTATGTTGTAATGATGGGGTGCCGGGTTCGCTATGTTGTAATGATGGGGTGCCGGGTTCGCTATGTTGTAATGATGGGGTGCCGGGTTCGCTATGTTGTAATGATGGGGTGCCGGGTTCGCTATGTTGTAATGATGGGGTGCCGGGTTCGCTATGTTGTAATGATGGGGTGCCGGGTTCGCTATGATGTAATGATGGGGTGCCGGGTTCGCTATGTTGTAATGATGGGGTGCCGGGTTCGCTATGTTGTAATGATGGGGTGCCGGGTTCGCTATGATGTAATGATGGGGTGCCGGGTTCGCTATGTTGTTTGGATGGGGTGCCGGGTTCGCTATGTTGTAATGATGGGGTGCCGGGTTCGCTATGATGTAATGATGGGGTGCCGGGTTCGCTATGTTGTTTGGATGGGGTGCCGGGTTCGCTATGTTGTAATGATGGGGTGCCGGGTTCGCTATGATGTAATGATGGGGTGCCGGGTTCGCTATGTTGTAATGATGGGTTGCCGGGTTCGCTATGTTGTTTGGATGGGGTGCTGGGTTCGCTATGTTGTAATGATGGGGTGCTGGGTTCGCTATGTTGTAATGATGGGGTGCCGGGTTCGCTATGTTGTAATGATGGGGTGCCGGGTTCGCTATGTTGTAATGATGGGGTGCCGGGTTCGCTATGTTGTAATGATGGGGTGCCGGGTTCGCTATGTTGTAATGATGGGGTGCCGGGTTCGCTATGTTGTAATGATGGGGTGCCGGGTTCGCTATGATGTAATGATGGGGTGCCGGGTTCGCTATGTTGTAATGATGGGGTGCCGGGTTCGCTATGTTGTAATGATGGGGTGCCGGGTTCGCTATGATGTAATGATGGGGTGCCGGGTTCGCTATGTTGTTTGGATGGGGTGCCGGGTTCGCTATGTTGTAATGATGGGGTGCCGGGTTCGCTATGATGTAATGATGGGGTGCCGGGTTCGCTATGTTGTTTGGATGGGGTGCCGGGTTCGCTATGTTGTAATGATGGGGTGCCGGGTTCGCTATGATGTAATGATGGGGTGCCGGGTTCGCTATGTTGTAATGATGGGTTGCCGGGTTCGCTATGTTGTTTGGATGGGGTGCCGGGTTCGCTATGTTGTAATGATGGGGTGCTGGGTTCGCTATGTTGTAATGATGGGGTGCCGGGTTCGCTATGTTGTAATGATGGGGTGCCGGGTTCGCTATGTTGTAATGTTGGGGTGCCGGGTTCGCTATGTTGTAATGTTGGGGTGCCGGGTTCGCTATGTTGTAATGATGGGGTGCCGGGTTCGCTATGTTGTAATGTTGGGGTGCCGGGTTCGCTATGTTGTAATGATGGGGTGCCGGGTTGGCTATGTTGTAATGATGGGGTGCCAGGTTCGCTATGTTGTAATGATGGGGTGCCGCGTTCGCTATGTTGTAATGATGGGGTGCCGGTTTCATTATGGACAATTTGTCTTGCATTGGTTTTGACATGGTACTGAGAGCTGACCGTTCTGTAGCAATGGCAAACTATTGATTGTAAGATTTGCCTAGAAAAACCACAACAGCTGACAAATGCTGGAGCTGGTTCTGCAACGTCCTGTAAAGGATACGCAACTAATTTTCTTTGTTGTTTTTCTTTTATTTAAGCTTAGGACTATTTGATCATTTTCCACAGAGACTATCCATCACCCTCCTTAGTTATTTCTGTCTCCTGGCTTTCCAGACGTTGTCATCAGCATAACCTAGGCGTTTACATTATGATCACCAACCACAATTCCTAGCATATCCACGAGAGATCTAATAATATATTCACTGTATAATAAAAACAAATCAGGTATAGTACACATCCTTGTTGTACGCCCCTCTTTATGCTCTGAAATATTCATAAATCTGGTGTGTGTGTGTGTGTGTGCGTGCGTGCGTGCGTGTGTATGTATATATGTGTGTGTGTGTCCACTGTATATATGCATTTTATGTTATATATATCCAGACTGAGTAACATATGTATCCAGACTAAGGTCATATTGTTATCATGATAAAGCTCTGGTGTGTCCAGGTAACGAACAGATAGTTAGGTGTGGAGTGAATGATGCAGCAGCAAGTGACCTGGAGATCCCACCCAGAAGAAAAGCAAGCCTGACATAGAATCAAACAACTATTGAGGGCTAATGAACTCCTTACTGGCTGCTGAAGATGAGGACGGAGCACTTATTGGAATGTCCCGAGCACTGTTTTGTCAGCTCTTAACTCCACTCAACAGGGGTTACTAGGTACAAGAAGAGGTCGGTCCTCTAATTGTTCTATCCCTGACAATTTCAGATTTTACCTGGCCTTTGAGAATTCTTTCTGTAAAGATTACGTCTCTGAGAAGTTTTTCAAGCTGTTTGATAACGTGGATGTGGTGCCGGTAGTTCGAGGCGGCTTTGACTACAAGAAGTACCTCCCTTCGGGAATCTTTGTTGACGCCTCAGATTTTAAGGTATGTTTCTTGTGAATAGTTGATTAGGAAAAAAAAAGTCATTTAGTGATGATTAAGTAAGTGCTTACTTGAATTTTATGAAATTAAAAAAAAAATACCCGTAGTTTTCACTACAAGACGTCTCTCTCTTCAAACAAAAAAACAAGTGGCTTTAATTTCAAAACATACCTCCTTTCAGGAGGATAAATTCCAAGAATGCCATAGACAAAAAATAAAGGAAATACTGACACACCAAAAGATCTTGATTTCAAGGAAGTTTGGCTAGTACAGATAATCTTATCTCAGAAAGTGAAATATTTTGCCCACATCAAGCACCACGGTGGACTAGAAAGAATGTTTCTTTTAGGCAGACCACAATTAGAGGGAGGTTCTGCAAAGGACCTGCTACATGAACAGATGTGTTTGTTTGTTTGTTTATAAAATGCAGATTTTGCGTGTTTCATTCTTCATGAAACTTATCTATTTAGAACATACAACAATTTTCTGTCTATGAACAGGACACTGCAGGCTCAACTACCACATGCATAAAGTAAAGATTGTACAGTCCCCAAAGTGTGCCTGTCAAACAGGACTACAAACACTTGAGCACATTCTGCAGACCTGCCCACTCTACCTACAACTTCGGAAAGACATTTAGCCTCAAGAGCAAAATATGCAGAGCAAGCTATGGGCAGCCATGAAGGACCTGCTGCTGACATGCGAGTTCATAGAGGCAACCCACCTGATGGTCTGATCTGAGCATGTGAGTTCATAGAGGCAACCCACCTGATGGTCTGATCTGAGCATACGAAACCGAACACAAAGAAGAACAAGAACAACACACCCACCCACCCAGAGCAACATGAACCCATCGAGGCAGGTGGGGGATTAATCTTGAGAAGAGCCGATAGATAGCTGCTGGTCATGGTCTTAAAGCAGAGAATCTTACTGTACTGAACAGTGACTGGAGCCACCCAACCAGTATTGTCACCGCTAAGAAGGAAAGCAATGGCAAACTTATTTCTCCAAGATGGCAAGAACAGTCATGATTTCACAAACAAGCAGTCCTTCTTAGACAGATGAAAAAACTTATAAATGTTCATTTTTATTTCCTAAGAGGTCAGTGGGTTGGAGTTCACAACGGGTTTAATTGTGCAGTAATAGTAATAATAATTACTTTCTGCTCACTGGTACAAATATACAATAATATATGTAAAATATTATGAACAAATACTTGACAATGGGACATCTGGGGTGGCTCTGCTCCCTATAGGGGTGGGGGGGGGGGGGAGGCGGCGCTCAAACCAGTAGTCTTGGCTTGTCATCAAAATGTTCTTTATGTTTCCCACTATGTCAGTATCTTTACTTTGCCTTCTTTATTCAGTCCAAGCACACCACCATTTATTCTGCCCGTCTCTCCTTCCATGTAACCTGTATTATCTCCCACATGATTTCAGCCTGTCTCCTCTTCCGTGTAAACTGTATTATCTCCCACACGATTTCAGTCTGTCTCCCTTTCCATGTAACCTGTATTATCTCCCACATGATTTCAGTCTGTCTCTCCTTCCATGTAACCTGTATTATCTCCCACACGATTTCAGTCTGTCTCCCCCTTTCATGTAACCTGTATTATCTCCCACACGATTTCAGTCTGTCTCCCCTTCCATGTAACCTGTATTATCTCCCACATGATTTCAGTCTGTCTCCCCCTTCCATGTAACCTGTATTATCTCCCACATTATTTCAGTCACCCGAAGCTTTAGCTCACCACCTGCTACAACTGGCCAGGGACAAAGAGAAGTATGTGGCCATGCTGAAGAAGAAAAGCCAGTAAGTCAGTCAAGTGTTTTGTCCATTCTTGAATCACTTTTTACTTTGCAAATCTAAATGTCCTGCATGAGAGTTAAAACAAAAACTCCCTGTGTGGGTTCTGGGGCCACATTGTGGAAAAAACAAGAACTGACCCACTGCCTTCCCTACAAGCATGTCGTAAGAGTCGACTAATTTGGGAATTCCTTCGAAACTGGAAAGCAACTGCCAAAGAGACAGGGAGCCAACAGTCTGCATACAAATGAGCCAGAATTGTAAAACTGATGAGCATGCAAGACTCGAGTTCTGGAACAGGACTTCAGGCTAGAAGTGGATGAACAACCAGAACTTTCCACAGGTTTACAGCTACTGAACACACAGAAGAAGAAGAAGAAAATGTTAGAATCATGATTTCTATCCAACCTATGGATGTGAGTCATAGACTCTTGGTCAGTTGCTGTTGAAAAAAATTGTATGACTTTGAATTGAAATATCTTTTCATGGCGCAAAAAGAAGGAAAAAAAAACTGACATCCAAAATGAACTGAACATCGAGAACTGGCTCATAAAAGCATTCTGTCCCGAAAGCTAGAGTATTTGGGTCACGTTAAAGGTCACGGTAGCCTGGAGAGAACAGTGGTGAAGCATAGTTTCCGGAAAAAGTAGGCATAGGGAGACCTCCCTTCATATAGATAGACAACATTGAAGATGTATTGGCTATGAAAGCATATAGTGTTGGAGACTGGCTAAGAAAGAGCGACTATCAGGCGCGCCGTGATAAGAACGACGTTCTTCAAAGTACCTGATTGATAAACAGCTAAATGTAGAGCTATGTGTTAACATCATGGAAATGATTTAGTGTCCCTGAGATGTGTGATTAACTGTGACTGAGTGTCCCTAAGATGTGTGATTAAGTGTGTCTGAGTGTCCCTGAGATGTCTGATTGTTTGTCTTAATGTTTCTGATATGTCTGATTAAGTGTGTCTGAGTGTCTCTGAGATGTCTTATTGTCCCTGAAATGTGTGATTAAGTGTGTCTGAGATGTCTGATTGTGTCTGAGATGTCTGATTGTGTCTGAGATGTCTGATTGTGTCTGAGATGTCTGATTGTGTCGGAGATGTCTGATTGTGTCTGAGATGTCTGATTAAGTGTGTCTGGGCCGGGCTAGCGATTCGTTAACGCAGCGGTTCTCAAACAAGAAAGAACCTATTTTCGACAGTGGCCAGGAAAGACAACCTAAATTCAAGTATCTACATGCCTTCTTTAATAATTTCAAAATTTTTAGCCGACTTGATTTTAGTCGCGGCACCCCTGGCATAAGTTCATGGCATCCCAGGGTGCATCAGCACACAGCTCAAGAACCTCTCCGTTAACGCATCGTTAGCCCGACCCAGTGACGACAGCAGCACAGCCCGTCAGCTGGAGCCGGTCGTGGACTGATAACAACAATGCATCTCCGCTGGCACTAACATTTTGTTCATGCTAAACCGAGTGTTGATCTTGAGTGAGTTTGTGTTAACGAAGTTTTACTGTTTTATAACGTTAGCTTTTCTTCAATTATGGCAATTACTAATAGACTACAGACATTCAAAAACTGGTGCCTGCACAGAGTAGAGGGAATTAAATGGTATGACAGAATCACTAATGTAGAGCTTTGGGGGAGAACTAAGCAAGCTCCAGTGGACCAAGAGGTGAGGAAAAGACGCTGGCGTTGGATAGTATACACACTGAGAAAAAAAGAATAATTTAAATAGAATGTCTTTGCACTGAAACCCACAGGGGCATATGAATACAGGAAGGGAAAAAAACCGGAAAAGGGAGCTGGAGAATGAAGTTAGAAAGATGGGGAGGACATGGGGAGAGCTCCATGCGATAGCAAAATATAGAACGACTTGGCGTGAGTTAGTTGAGGGCCTATGCTTCATTGGAGGCTAGAGGGGCAGAAAAATAAGGTAACTAGCTTTTTATCAGCGCAAGACATAGTCGTACTAATATGATATTGTCTCTGGTTTCTGTAGGTGGCTGGAAGTTGTGCCCGTGCCATCACACTGCCGTGTGTGTGACGCCCTGCACACCTCACAGAACACAAGCCATTTTCATCCCAACCTGAGAGCCAAGTTTAACGGTATACCCTCCAACTGCTGGCAGCCTACAGACTTAGATTAAACAGCAATCACTTAGTTCCGGACACAAGAGCATCGGGGCTCAGTCCCCTTGGGAAATCCCCCCACCCCCCAAAAGTTTTGGGGGGGGGGGGGGCAAGTGCCCCACCCCCTCACTTTCCCCAAACCTTTTTCCGTCTAGAAGAAAGTTTGTTTGGAGGCTAAGTGTTTCTCCCCCAACCCCCCCCCCCCCCCCCCCCTTTTCCCAAAATCATTTCTTTCAACTAGAAAGTTTGTTTAGGGAAGCTAAGTGTCGTCCCCCCCCCCCCCCCCCCCCCCCCCCCCCCCCCCCCCCCAACAACCATTTCGTTCTACAAGAAAAGTTTGTAGGGGGATGTTAAATTGCACCCCCCCCCCCAAACCATGTTATCTTTTTGGCTATTTGCTTTTATGTTTCCTTTCATTGTCAGTACATTATTATATTTAATTGCCATGTATGACATAATTATTTTTATAACTTTTCTTGTAAATTTAAACAATGAATGCCCACCTCCGTGTCTGTGTCTTAGGCGTTGCAAACACACTTCGTATTGCCGGAGTGCCGGGTTCGATCCCACCTACGGAAGATGTGTCTTGCGTTGGTATGGACAGTGGTACTGATAGCTGACCGTTAGGAAAGCAATGACAAAGTACTGAACGTAAAATTAGTGTAGAAAAACGACAGAGTTCTGCAACATCGTGTAAATGCTACCCAACTAACTAATTCTCATATTAACACCCCCCCCCCCCCCCCCCAATTACCATGTTTTATGTGTTGATGCATCTCTTTGGACGTATAAAGATAACAATGACTTAATCAGATGACACATTTAGATAGATATTTACACAGATTTCAGATCTAGTAATATGCAGATAAGACAAGAGACTAAGAGAGTTAAGGTATCCAATTTTATAAGAAATCGTTGCTGGAACTACATAAGCCATGCTCTCAGAATGGATAAGACCAGACTCCCCCACCAAGCCCTCAGATGGATTACACAAGGGAAAAAGAAAACAGGCAAGACCAAGAGAAACAGAGAGATCCTGTGTAGAACCATCATCAGGGAAGGCTCAAACACAGGCCCAATAAACATCCAGGACTTACAACAGGTGGCAACGAACCACCAGACTTGGAGGGCTATGACCTCTGCCTCTCCCTAGGCTCAGGAGGCAAGACTAACATTTAGATAAAGAACGGTCGCTGTCATATGCACACACAGCAGCGATTTTAGGGCACGTTTCTAGCCATAAGGGAGTCGCCGTGGCGGAGCAGCTAGATGCTCACCGCGGATCGGAAGGTCGTGGGTTCGCTCCCTGACGGAGCCGGACTTTAAAAAAAAATGACCTTGACTCCCAGGTCGACCCAGCCTTGAGTGGGTACCGGGTGCAGTCCCAGGAAGTAAAGGCGGCCGGCGTGATGCTGACAACATCACCCATCTTGTGCCGATTGGTCTATCAAATATAGGTCTAGCCCTATATGCCTTTACTTTTTTTATAGCCATAACATCCTGGATAACATATGTTGGAGCAGTGGGTAAAAGTGAAGGGCCCTATTGCACGCCTTCATACCTACTGGGCTGGAGCTGTATTTCAAAAGTCCATGTGGGTGGTATGATCATCATCACTCCTGCCACTTTTACTTCCCATGACTCCACCTCGTACCCACTTGAGACTGAGTCTAACTGTGAGCCAATATCATTTTTTTTTTATGTTCGGCTCAGGACCCGAACCCACACCCTTCCAACTCATAGGTGAGCGTCTAGTTGCTACACCAGGGCAACTCCCAGGTGAGCGTCTAGTTGCTACACCGGGGCAACTCATAGGTGAGCGTCTAGTTGATACACCAGGGCAACTCATAGGTGAGCTTCTAGTTGATACATCAGGGCAACTCATAGGTGAGCGTCTAGTTGCTACACCGGGGCAACTCATAGGTGAGCGTCTAGTTGCTACACCAGGGCAACTCATAGGTGAGCGTCTAGTTGATACATCAGGGCAACTCATAGGTGAGCGTCTAGTTGATACATCAGGGCAACTCATAGGTGAGCGTCTAGTTGCTACACCGGGGCAACTCATAGGTGAGCGTCTAGTTGCTACACCAGGGCAACTCATAGGTGAGCGTCTAGTTGCTACACCAGGGCAACTCATAGGTGAGCGTCTAGTTGATACATCAGGGCAACTCATTGGTGAGCGTCTAGTTGCTACACCAGGGCAACCCATAGGTGAGCGTCTAGTTGCTACACCAGGGCAACTCATAGGTGAGCGTCTAGTTGATACACCAGGGCAACTCATAGGTGAGCGTCTAGTTGCTACACCAGGGCAACTCATAGGTGAGCATCTAGTTGCTACACCAGGGCAACTCATAGGTGAGCGTCTAGTTGATACATCAGGGCAACTCATTGGTGAGCGTCTAGTTGCTACACCAGGGCAACTCCCAGTGTGAATATAATTTTTCCCCTTCAAGATTACATGTCGAAAGATTAAACCCTCAGTGACTCAATGAGTCACTATCTGCATGAGAATCTCACAGGAAACAATCTCAGAAACCATGTCTAACATCATCATGTGGCAGGTTCTTCCCAAAACGTTGCTCTCATTACAGTCTGTCTGGGAAAAAGAAACTTATGTCTCTCCTGTCTCATGCAGTTTTCAAACCAGGGTATCACTTATATCCTCTGCCCATCTTTGTGCTGGTTCACCCCTGCCCCTCTTTCCCGGTAACATACCTTCTGCTATTAGTTTTCTTCAATCCGCTGTGACGCTAACATGCTGAAATATTTTAGTTTCAGAGACAAGATGCTGTTTACTAGCCCAGTCTTCCTTGATATTCAGATATTTCAGGCCGTCAATATTTCTTCTCTCCGATAAAAGGAGTAATGAAGACATCTTGAAAGAAGCTGACTCACAAAGAGAACGATTGCCCACACCAGAAAGATACAATCTAAATCTTTAATCATGTGATGAAAAGGGAAAAACTGGAGTACGTCGTGGCGGTAGGAAAGTTGGAGGAGAGGAAAGGCAGTGTGAGATGGAGAGAACAGATGCTGGACAGTCTGACATCATGACTTGGAGGATCATTTGTGTCAGAATTGATTGAAAGTACACATGACAGAAGGTTGAGGATAGATATAACTACCAACGTCACACAGCATGGACTTTAAGACGATTTCTTCTCTTCTTCATCCATGGTGTTCTGAGAATATTTCTATAGCATTTCAGCTCAAACACCCATACTCTCCTACCTAATGACAGTAAGATGGCCCATGATCAACATCTGTATGTTGTGGCAAGGTGGACACATGCATGCTCTCAAAATTCTGAGTTTACTGTACCCTGTTCAACATTTATAATAAAACACCCTGCTGTTATGAGATACCTGCAGCCCAGAAAGGATAGAATAATGAATTGTTCATATTCATCATCTTCTTTGCGTTGACCAGCTGTAAACTCCGGAAGAAAGTTCTGGCTGTTCGTCCACTTCTGGACTGCAGTCCTGTTCCAGAACTTGAGTGTTGCGTGTGCATCTGTTTGACAGATCTGATTAATTTGTATGCAGACTGTGGGTTCCTTGCCTCTCGGGCAAATGCACTCCGACTTTGAAGGAAGCCCCCAATTAGTCGACTCTTACGACATGCTTTTGGGTAGGCAGTGGGTCTATTCTTGTTTTCCTACAATAGGCCCCCAGAACCACACAGGGAAAATGTGAATATTAATGTGGATGTGGTTAAATGGTTGTGTGAGTGAATGACAAAGAAAAGCGACCACCGACATAAACATAAATAAAATAACATTCTGTGCTGTATCCACAACAAACGTTGGCTACACTGTTGTACTTGTTGCTGTCTGTGGGAATGTTACATGATAAGGCCCTAATCTCTTCCATGGTGTGACTCTCATACTGTTAGAAAACCATGAGAAATTGTTGTATATAAATGAACTGATGTGTAGAGTGAGAACAATGATTTATTCATGTTAAATGAGGAGAAAGAAGAAGTATGACTATATAGATATCAGATGTACATTATAAAGCTTGTATGACTGACATAGTCAGAGAAATGCAAACACACAACTATAGCTTTATGATATAGATGTCTGTTGTAGACACAGAACTGATTTGAGCTGCAAATTCTCTGAGTAGTATCTGTGGCACCATTTGGTGGGTGGGTAATCCCCCCCCCCCCCTTCCTTTCAATAAACATATTTTAAAAGTCAACTAATGTGAATGTTTCCTTTGAAGTTGGAGTGCATCTGCCTGAGAGCCAAGGAACCAACAGTCTGCATACAAATAAGACAGAACAGTAAAACAGATGTGCAACCAAAACAAGTTCTGCAACACCATCAAAGTCTAGAAGTTGAACAGCCAGAACTTTCTACTGGAATTTACAGCCAGTGAACGCTAAGAAGAAGAAGAAGCGGCAGGGGAAAAAAGTAGAAAAAAAAATCAGAGGCAGAGAAAGAAAACCAATAAAACAGTAAAAAAAAAAAAAAAAGCAGGAGAAGAGGACAGAAGAAGATAAAAAAAAGGCAGAAGGAGATGTAACAAGCAAATCATGGTAAAAGATTCGGTCAGGGTTGAAGCACGTTGGGTAAAATGGTGGTAAACCCATATTTGTATATGTTAACTGGCTGTCTCTCCATGGCCGACATGGACATCATCCGGTATGTGTCCATTCTTCATGACATTCATGAGCTGTAGACTGCATTGGAAAGTTCTGGCTGTTTACAGGTAAATTAACTGATAATTCTAACATAATTTTTATAGGCAAATTAGCTGATTATTCTCACAGAACTAGATGGTGGTAGATGAACTGTTATTCCTTTCAATGTTCGCAGTGTTGGTTTCTTTCGTGGACGTCCAGGAGTCAGGGCAACCTGAGAAGTCGCAGTAAAGTCTAATACCTTTTTTTATGCAACTCGGCAACCAACCAGCAAACACTCCGACTGCAATGGCCTGTTAGAAATACACTTAGTAGAGGGCTATTGAACTGGCAGCCCGCAAGGCTATATCTGGCCTATGTATCATCGCCATTTGTACTGCGTTAATGATCGTTTTAATGATTAGGCCCGTGATGATCCCCATTTTCAAAATTTGGAGCCCCTAAGTAAAGTTAGCTGAATCACCCTGACCTAGAAGATGGAATAGTTCTGCCATAAAATGCACACAAAGGACGTCTATAATGATAAATAATGCAACAATACCAGTTTATGTACAACACTTGATAAAATGTCATCTACACAGTACTGACAGTTTAGAGTACTTGCTGTCTTGAATAATGATAGCAAACTCTATGTCTGCAGCAGTGTTAATCACCCGTTAAAATTTTTTTTTGAGTCAGCTACAAAACAGATATAAATAAATATGTAGCCGCTACAAGATTCTGGCTCTACGTGGCTGCAGTGAATGAGACTGTATGTGGCACATGTATCAGATTTTCTAGCCTAAAGTAGCAGCTAAGTTTGCTTAAGAAGAAAACTTTAATTTTGTCAGATAGGATTTTACACACAAACTGCTTTTTTCACGTTTCTGTTTTTTAGTTATCTAGGTGGCCCACATAAAAATTTCCTCTGTTTCGCCTGGTCATTGGTGTAAAAAGGTTGAAGAACACTGGTTGACTAGAGTAAGTAAAAGTAAAGTAAAGATCCCTTTACACTCCCTTAGGCGCATCGGGATAAAGTATTCATAATTTACAAATCAGAACAAGAATTGTAAAACCAGTCACACTTAAAGAACGTTGTCCTTTTTCCTCATTCTTTTGTCAGTTTTAAAGTGAGAACAAAGAAATTCTTGGAACTGCCTTTCGTGCTGTTTCCATGGCGACACACAGCAGCAGCTTCATATGCACTGGAACATCCAATGTACTTTCAAAAACAAAAAAATTACAAGATAATATACAACAAACAAAATGTATCATGTCATAAACAAGTTGGCAAACACTCATGACAAAAATGCAAGTAAATAATAAACAGCTTGCTAACACTCTTGTGAAAAAGCAATTCAAACATAAACTTATACACTCATGACAAAAAAGCAAGTGAATAATAAACAACTTGCTAACAATCAGGTGAAAAAAGCAATTCAAACACAAACTTAATAAAACTCATGACAAAAAAGCAAGTAAATAATAAACAACTTGCTAACACTGTCAAAAATCAAGTCAATGGAAAACTTGCTAACACTGGGAAATCCCATAAATGTTCTGTCCACATCTTTAGCAGCCAGGACAGTTTCAACTCTACTGGCGCTGGCTGTAGCCTGTACTCTGGGTGTACTCTGTAGTGCTGGGTGTCTGCCAAATCTCTGCAAATCCATTTGCATCATTCTTTCAATAGCAGACCACAGTGACCTCTCCACTTCTGCATACTGGTTACATGCTCCCAAAGTGCCTGTATCCTTTCTGCCTTGTTATCCATCTGTTCATTACCCAGGGGTGCAGAACCAGCAAATCTGTCTGCCTGTTCATTTTCCAACACAGTGAGACACCTTGAAAAACAGATCCAAAGGATACTCATTACTCTCAACATCCCAAGTGAAGCATGCAACACTGTGTGCAGCATTTCCTGTGTGGGTTCGAGGGATCCATTATGGAAACAACAAGAACCAACCCATCACCTTCGCAACAAACATGTGGGAGTCGACTAAATGGGGGCATCCTTCGAAGTCGGAATGCATCCTCCTATGAGGCAAGGAACCAAAACTCTGCATACAAACAGGTCAGATCTATAAAATAGGTGTGTACACGACACTCAATTTCTGTAACAAGACGTAAGTCCAGAAGTGGATAAACAACTAGAACTTTCCACCGAAGTTTACAGCCGGTGAATGCGAAGAGGAAGAAGAAGCAAAGTATATAGCATAGCCTGTCAGTCTTCACTTTAAGCTTGTATACATTCTCTGACTGTGAAACTCTTTCCCTTCTTGTGCCCTCAGTCAAGTGCATCCTCAATGAAAAACTGTTGCAAACAAGATTCTACAAAGTGTGCTACTCGCATACAACCAGCGTGTGCGATCAATGAATTCAGAACTGACATCAGGGTACTTGATGCATTCTCACATGTGCTATATTGCCTTCTACGCTAACGAACATAGAGCAAGAGTTTCTATACTGCCAGATCTGTAATACAGATGTGGATGCAAAACTCAAGTTCTGGAAGCAAACCAAAGTTCAGAAGTGGATGAACAACCATAAATTGATAACTGGAGTTTACAGCAGGTCGACATGAAGATCAATTTCCCTTAAAGGCGGTGCCAACTGCACGTGTTTAAATGTCTGCTTGTTGTTATTTTTTCTCTGTGCATTGAATTCCATTCAGACCCCCGTGCCCACTCCCTGGGGAATCAGTCTTTCGTGATATGGATACTGTACGAAATCAGTGGGAAAAAACTGGCCTATGATGCACACGATCAAAGATGGCTGAAGAAGAAATACCCATCTGCAATGCCAAGTTTCTCCAGCACCCCATGTGCTACAGCCACAGTCTTCGTCTCAGCACAGTTTGACATCCCCATTTTTGCTGATCTGGCACAGTTTGAGCGCTCGTAACACCTGGAAGTACAAAAGTGTGGAAAGTCAGGTCTGTTTCAAAAATCACCTCTGTCAAGGTCTTTGTAAAGGCCGAGGTCAAGTCAATATGAGACCTCCAGCCAAACACAAAATAAGTCAGTATCAGGTAAACAACATGTGGCCATGAAAATCAGCGCACATTTTGAGCAAACTCATGTCAGTCATTGGCCAAGCATGAGAGTGGACAGTCTGGTCAACTACAATGTAGTACATACATACCACATGAGAATGGAGAGTGGTAGTAGTAACCGTAACAGTGATAGTAGTAGATAGTAGACAGCTTGTAATAGTGTTGACATTTGTATAGGTAAATTAACTGATTATTCTAACAATTTTTATAGGTAAATTAACTGATTATTCTAACAATTTGTATAGGTAAATTAACTGATTATTCTAACAATTTTTAAAGGTAAACTAACTGATTATTCTAACAATTTGTATAGGTAAATTAACTGATTATTCTAACAATTTGTATAGGTAAATTAACTGATTATTTTAATAGAATTGTGGTAGACAAACTATGCCGCTGTTTGTTATTCCTTGCAACGTGTGCAGCGTTGTGAGATAGCCTGTTTTCTTTCGTGGACGACCTGGAGTCAGGGCAGTCTAAGAAGTCACAGTAAAGTGTGATACCTTAGCATGGCTTAGTGCTGCAAATTACTAAACTTACATCCCAAAAAGGGAAATAAAAGATCAGGGGATAGGAGGACACCTAACTAGCCACCAGGTTGAGAATCTACGCCAGGGCAGGTCACATGAATTAATTTCTACGCATGTGCTCTGATCTCTGTCACACATCTTTCAAATCCTGACAACCTGTCATGAAGAGGCTAATGCCAACTGATGTTTTAGGAATGTGACAGTAAAGATTCTGTACAACTGTCACAGGCGTAGACACCAGCCGAGCTAATTATGCTAAACAATGACCATGTAAAAATGATACCTGCAAACCACTCTCATCAACAGCAGACAAAGCAGCTAGCATGCGGTGACCATATCAGACTTAGCAAACCTGAGAGTCCCCAGTGTGGGTTCTGGGACTCCACTGGGGGCGGGGGGGAAAAACAGACCCACAGCCTCGCTAACAAGTATGTCGCAAAAGTCAACTTCTTCTTAACCACCGGCTGATTACTCCATTGGAAAGTTCTGGTTGTTTGTCCACTTCTGGACTTGAATGCTGCATGCACATTCGGTTTACAGACCTGGGCTTATTTGCATGCAGACTGTTGGTTTCTTCCCTCTCAGGCAGATGTTTAGTTTATTATCCCCCCCCCCCCAAATTTTTACGTTTTAAAGCTGAGGTTTATCTTATACACAGAAAATGGATTAAAATATTTATTTCTTAAATTTGGGCGAAAAAATAGGTTCCAACTTATACTGAAAAAAAAAAAAATACAGTATATCCTATGCTACAACCAACAACAGTGTGAATCCTACCTTTAGCATTGCTTCCCCTGTAGCTTCAGACACCCACAATCCCATGCTACAACCAACAACAGTGTGAGCCCTACCTTCAGTTTTGCTTCCCCTGTAGCACCAGATACCCTCAATCCCATGGAATTCATCTGTTGAGGTGACAGGGCATCTCTGCAGGAAGACAAACATAAATCATTAGCAAAATGTAGTCAAGAGGGGCAGCCACATAAAACAATCACCAAATTATAAGTCAAACCACACATAAGTCAACAGTTTACAATGATCAATGACTATCAGATAAGTACAAGAAATTCAAGACTAGGGATTCAGAATTGTGCCCATCAGGACAGGCACCACAGAATACTGAACATCTGTTGGCTTGGATTGGATTGGCTTTTTACCCCACCAGGACATCACACAAGCGATAAACACCCGATGACACAAAGTGCCACCATGCGGATGAGGATCACCGTGGAGAGGTCCCAGAAACCGCGTTCAGACATTTGGCCATTTTTATGGCCTGCCTATATTGCAGCCCCTGGCAAAAGCCAGAGTGGGGCTTCAAATAACAAAAAATTACGTCCTCAAAAGGACGTAAGGATTTTAATATTGTGAAGAACATCTGTTACAGGCATGATCTCTATATACAGCAGATACATCTCAGGTTCAGAAGGTAGGATCTCTATATACAGCAGATACATCTCAGGTTCAGAAGGTAGGATCTCTATATACAGCAGATACATCTCAGGTTTGGCTGATAGGCATTTCAATGGAAACCAGGCGGTATGGAACAGAAGAAGAAAGGTGTCGCATCCAGCTAACCCATTCATCTATTATTACTTTGACCATCCATACTAAAGTCATAAACAATAAATAAATTAAAATAGCAGATACAGAAAGACAACTATGCTGGTAGAGTCAGAAAGTTCCCAGAATGGATGCAGTCGAGTACTTTTATGTATTTTTCAAATTATGTACAATGTTATTGTTGTTGTTTTCGATCCAGCGGCACATAAAAGTGCGCCCTTTGGCCCACTGCCATGTAGTGGAATTTACATTTCTTCAAAAGCTGTTCTTTTCTTCCGTACAAAGTGTTCCACTTGTCTGGTCTCGGAGGCAGTTGCATTCTTCTAGTCTCGTTGAGTTTTGGGCACTCAAAGAGATGATGGTCACCAGTTTTGTAAGGGTAGTTACATAGCTGGCACTTTTGGGAGTGTTGTGGCTGTATTCTGTTTAGATAGTCCACTGTCGATTCTCAATTCAACATCCACAGTTAGACACTAGTCTTCATGGATCATCCGTTCATTAAATCTCACAGTGAGCTCCTCGTTATGTACAGAAAGTAGATGTCCTGGCCTAGATTCAGTGTGAATTTTTTCCACACCATTTGTCTTCTTCTTCGCGGTCACCAGCTGTAAACTCTGGCGGAAAGTTCTGGTTGTTCGTCCACTTCTGGACTGCAGTCCTGTTCCAAAATCTGAGTGTTGCGTGTGCATCCGTTTTACAGAAATGACTCATTTGTATGCAGACTGCTGGTTCCTTGCCTCTCAGGCAGATGCACTCCGACTTTGAAGGAAGCTCCCAATTAGTCGACTCTTACGACATGCTTTTGGGTAGGCAGTGGGTCTATTCTTGTTTTCCCTATAATAGGGCCCCGGAACCCACACGGGGACACGCCATTTGTGAATATCACCTCATGTATGTGACAGACACTGACACGACTGACAGAGAAGCTGTATGTGACGGACATTGACACGACTGACAGAGAAGCTGTATGTGACAGACATTGACACGACTGACAGAGAAGCTGTATGTGACAGACACTGACACGACTTGACTTACTTTTTGCCTTCTACTTTAAAATGTTGCCACAGCATGCTGTAAGTCTGAAACATGGACAAATCAGTTGTAGTAAACATGTTAAAGAAAAAGATGTGTAATAATGTGAGAAAGTGTGTGGATGTGTGGGGTGAGAGAGAGACACACACAAATAGGGTAGAGTGAAAGGCAGACTGACAGAGAAGTGTAGACTGACACTACATCGACAGATTTATGCAGATATAAATAACAATAAAATATTTTTTTTAATAAAATAGGTTTTTATTTAAAGAACATCACATAAATAATTCATTCAAAGTAGATAAAAAAATGTTTACATAGTCCACTAGTTATCAGAAATAAAATAATTATCTTTACAAAATTCATATACAATAGTTTAACATAAATAATAAAAGGGCTTTGCTTGACAGTGTATCAGAAAATAGTCGAACAATGAAAGGATGTAACAATACTACAGTAAGTTTCTCTATTTAAGTGCCTATTTGTTTTATATCATCCGTGGTATAGGCATTGCGAGTCCGACTCGTAATTCCAACATACCGCGATGGAAACACACTGCTGGCTGCGTGGATTCTTATCATGGTATGGGGCGTCGCAGGTCGACCCAGGGTAAAATGGCTACCAGGATGTATGTCCTGGGAAAGGAAAGACGGCCGGCATAATGCTGACTACACTACCCATCTAGTGCCGATTGGTCTGTAAAAAATATGGGTGCTCTTTCCATACGCCCGATGCGAGTGAAGGCGTGAAAATGGATCTTTACTTATTTGTTTTACATAACATTGCTACAATGACTTAACAAGTACAACTTTCCAGTTTTGTATGTAAAATTGATGCAATGCATTACCCTCTTTCAATCATCCAGTTTTATACTAACATGCTACAATGACTTACACTATTTAAACTGTTAAGCTTTTCGACGTAACATTGGTACAATTAGTTACCATATTCAACTGTCCAGTTTAGGATGCAACATTACGACAACTTACCCTGTTTAAGTCATCCAGTTTAACTTTGCCTCTGACCAGTCTGGACACTGACAATAATTCTTGATCGGTCACTTCAACAAAATCTGAGCACCGGGACCTTCTGTCTACAGCCGATGCCGCTGGACACGCGGGTTCTGAAAGAAAGATAAGGACTGATAGGAAACACTTGAGTGGCAAGTTAGGTAGCCACCACAGTGTAGTGGCTAGATGCTCACCTGCAGACCTAAAGGTAGTGGGTCTCATTCCGAACAGAACTGAAACGTTTTTTTTTAAATGCACCGAGACCTTCTGTCTACAGCCGATGCCCCTGGACACAGGGGTTCTGAAAGGAAGACAAGGACTTCAGGGAAACACTTGAGAGGCAAGCAAGGTAGCCACCATGGTGTAGCAGCTAGATGCTAGCCTGCACACCCAAAGGTCGTGGGTCTGAATCCGAACGGAACTAAAACGTTTTTAAAAAATGACCTTGGCTCCCAAGTTTACCCAGCCTTGAGTGGGTACCAGGTAAAGTCCTGGTAAGTAAAGGCGGCCGGCGTGATGTTGACCACATCAGCCACAAAGTTCCGATTGGTCTATAAATTAAAGGCTTAGCAATATATGCCTGATACAGATGCTGGGAAGGGATGCTACGCTGACAATCTTTTGACTAAGCAAGATAAGACAGAACAGTTTTGTCATTTTACTGTAAAGTTTACATGTATAGTTTCTTCCTGCAGCCACCGCCGATCGGCTGCTTCCGGTAGTAGTGTTGCCTGTTGAATGGTTGTAGTGCTGCCAGTTGATTGGTTGTAGCGCTGCCAGTTGATTGGTCCAACACACCATTTGAAGTTTGCTCAACATGTCGGCTGCTAGGAAGATGGTTCTACAGGCGCTGTATTTTCTTCTGGTGTCTCTGGGTTATTTTGTTTCTGCTGAGGTTATACAAGGCTCAGTTTCGCTCAACGGTGGCGTATTTGATAAGGTAATTTACTGCTAGTGAAAAGTTCCATGAAGTTAAAAAATGTTTAACAAAACACAGAAGTAATTTTGGTACTTTCCCTCAAGCATTAGTTCAAAATAGCATGACGATGGAGATAGCAGCTGTCCCAGGAGGAACAGCCACAATTTTCCATAAAAGTTTACAGTGAGTAAGCGCAAACAAACAAACCAATGAAAAAAAGAAACAAAACAAACAATACAAATGACATAATTTCTATACTGAACACCAAAATGGAAGCAAAGATAAAGACAGAAAAATACAACTGCATATTGACAAACTGACCGTTCTGTTTCGATTTTCCAACACTGGGGCAGGTTTTGCCAGATGCCTGAGCATGTTCTCTAGGGAGGCAGCCTTCTCCGGATACAGCCAAGTGCTGGTCACCTGTCGCAAGCTCTGACAGAGGTGGTAGGTTCAAGTCAGGCACTCCCATCAACTGCGACACCTGTCCTAAAATAGCTTGGGCCAAGTGGGTAATTTCTGTTTCCTGTCGAAACAATACAGTATAACCATGACAACACATTTCTTCTTTTCTTAGCGTTCACCGGCTGTAAACTCCAGTGGAAAGTCCTGGTTGTTTGTCCTGTCCTGGACTTTAGTCTTGGTCCAGGGCTTGAATCTTGCATGCACATCCGTTTCGCAGATCTAGCTTACGTGTGTGCAGACTGTTGGTTTCTTGCCTCTTAGGCAGATGACCTGCAACTTCGAAGAAAACCCCTAAATAGTCGACTCCTACAATGTGCCTGTCAGGGAGGCAGTTGGTCTGTTCTTATTTTTACTACTACATGAGGCCCCAGAACTGGGAATAACACTTTTTACTGACACCTTTCCAGGTGATGTGGTATAGGCAGACATGGGAATAACACTTTTTACTGACACCTTTCCTGGTGATGTGGTATACACAGACATGGGAATAACACTTTTCACTGACATCTTTCCAGGCATTGCTGGTGTACACAGGTATGGCATTAACACTTTTCACTGACATCTTTCCAGGCATTGCTGATGTAGACAGACCTGGGAAAAACACTTTTCAATGACACCTTTCCAGGCATTGCTGGTGTAGACAGACATGGGAATAACAGTACACAGAGACAGTGAGTGTGGCCAGCAAGAGCAACTTGTGTAAGAAGAGTCTTCCACAATTGGAGCATGGGATTACAGGACTACTATTGCCACTGCATGTTTCTAACCAGTTTGTTCTTGGATGTTCAGCTCTGAACCTAACTTCAATAATGTTCTCTTGTAACCCTTAGGTCCTTCATCATGTCCTCTTCCTTGCAACATGGAACATGGCATCCTGTCCCTACAAATCCAGCTCAATACCTGCATCAGTCATGCCCCCCACCTGCAACAGGGAACATGGCATCCTGTCCCTACAAATCCAGCTCAATACCTGCATCAGTCATGCCCCCCCCACCTGCAACATGGCATCCTGTCCCTACAAATCCAGCTCAATACCTGCATCAGTCATGCCCCCCCCCCCACCTGCAACATGGTACATGGCATCCTGTCCCTACAAATCCAGCTCAATACTTGCATCAGTCATCCCCCCCCCCCCTGCAACATGGTACACATGGCATCCTGTCCCTACAAATCCAGCTCAACATCTGCATCAGTCATGTCCCTCTTCATGCAACATAGTACATGACATCCTGTCCCTACAAATCCAGCTCAACATCTGCATCAGTCATGTCCCTCTTCATGCAATAGTACATGACATCCTCTCCCTACAAATCCAGCTCAATACCTGCATCAGTCATGCCCCCCCCCCTCCCTTGCAACATGGTACACATGGCATCCTGTCCCTACAAATCCAACTCAATGATTTTTGTGAAAAAAGAAAATCAAAGAAACCCCAGAGTGTGCCTCCAGCTTGGTCAACAGTCCGCTCATTTTGGGAAGTGAGGTCTGGAAGTAGCTGAGTGTTTCCTGGAAATGAGAAAATATCAGTGATGTTATCATGTAAACCGTAAGTGTCATGATGGTATACGGTGTCATGGTGGTAAGTGTAATGATGGTACAATGTAACAATGATGGTACAGTGTAATGATGGTACAATGTAACTATGATGGTACAGTGTAATGATGGTACAATGTAACTATGATGGTACAGTGTAATGATGGTACAATGTAACAATGATGGTACAGTGTAATGATGGTACAATGTAACAATGATGGTACAGTGTAATGATGGTACAATGTAACTATGATGGTACAGTGTAATGATGGTACAATGTAACTATGATGGTACAGTGTAATGATGGTACAATGTAACTATGATGGTACAGTGTAATGATGGTAAAATGTAACTATGATGGTACAGTGTAATGATGGTACAATGTAACTATGATGGTAGTGTAATGATGGTACAATGTAACTAGGATGGTACAGTGTAATGATGGTACAATGTAACTATGATGGTACACAATGTAACTATGATGGTACAGTGTGATGATGGTACACAATGTAACTATGATGATACAGTGTGATGATGGTACACAATGTAACTATGATGGTACAGTGTGATGATGGTACACAATGTAACTATGATGGTACAGTGTGATGATGGTACACAATGTAACTATGATGGTACAGTGTGATGATGGTACACAATGTAACTATAATGGTACAGTGTGTTAATGGTACACAATGTAACTATGATGGTACAGTGTAATAATGATGGTACAATGTAACTATGATGGTACAGTGTGATAATGGTACACAATGTAACTATGATGGTACAGTGTGATGATGGTACACAATGTAACTATAATGGTACAGTGTGTTAATGGTACACAATGTAACTATGATGGTACAGTGTAATAATGATGGTACAATGTAACTATGATGATACAATGAAAATCTGCGTTACTGTAATGTCAGTATGATGAAATGGAGAAAAAAAAGTTATCCCTTTTTCGTGCCTGAGGCACAGTGGGCATACAGAGCTAGACCTACATTTTTTAGATGAATCCGCACTCGAAAGCTGATCTGGTCAACATCACTCTGGCCACTTTTACTTCCAGAATCGCACCCTGCATCACCGTTCTCTCCAGATGGCCATGACATTTCACATGACCTAAATAGCTCAGCTTATGCGACAGGATGCTGTTTATGAGCCAATTCTCCTCGATGCTCAGGTCAAGTAGGATGCCCGTGTTTTTCTTCTTCTTGGTCCATGCATTCTAAGATATCTGTGTAGCATTTCAGTTCAAAGGCTGATTTCTTCCATCAAAAACTGAGCAACAGTCCATAGTCACAATCATAAGTTCCCATGGAATAGATTCATAATCTCACAAGTTTTAACTTAACCTGTTCCATAGGTTTTTTTATGCTGTTTATTTAGTCTCTGCATTGATAAAGCGAGTCTTTTTATGTCTTCCTTTGGGCAGCTTTCACTATCAAAGATTATTATTCAAAATCTGTGACATTTTCAACTTCAATAGGTGGTTGCTGGAGTGCTCAAAGGCAGTACTGTATAATGTGATAAGATCTAACAGCCTTTCAAAAACAATACTTACAGGGCTCAGTAGAGGGAAAAAAGAAGAAGAAACAGATCATGAAAGACCTGGATACAGAATATGACAGACTGGACACCGCAGGCATACAAACATGAAATCCATCGCATCTGACCATCAAAGGTGTAGTGAGGTGATCAGAGAGTCAATAGCAGGTGGTCACCCAACAACACCCAGTGTTACAGGATGTCAGTATCAACGCAAAAATAAAAAATGAACACAACAAACAAAAGTAAACCAAACATTTTCCCTACTGCAGCTGTGAAGTGGACAGCAGAAAATAAAGTTACCAGAGGAATCATTGTGTCTGATTTTCAGTCGGTAGTGCAGAAGGTTAAAAAAGGACAAATGTGGCATGCAAAGATACCAAGCAGCAACACGTCAACACTGAAGGGAATCATGCCGATATACTGTCCAGGATATGCAGGAGTGCGAAGAAATGAAAGAGCTGATTTCCTGACTACATAAGCGATAGCAATGAGGACATTTTTGCCAGACAAGAGAGATTCTGAAGATCATTTATGAACGAATGCTGAAAGAAAACACAAAGTTAGATGAAATAACAGGTGTAAACATGTTTGAATGAGGAATTCTGAGTGGATCCGGCAAGGACGGACGTACAAGAGGAAGAGAACAACGTATGGACAAACAGTGTGCCACAGGAACAGTTAGGATCTTCGCTTTAAGATAAGTTGAAGCCTCTACGGGTATGCAAGGTGTGGTATGATGTTGAATCTTAAATCAATAATACACACACACACACACATATATATATATCTCTCTCTTTTTAAACAGTAATATTTTTTTTAACACTTACCTTCTGAGCTGCCTGTATGGTGGCAATTTCCCTGGTCAAGGCTGAGAACTCTGCCTTGGCCTCCTCCACCTGGGCCATCAGTTTGACTGGATTGTCCTGTCGCATACCACAATAATCCAGTTTTAATGCCAAGTCAACAAAAGTTATGTGGATAATAAAAATATACATTGTTGCTATTATTTAGAACACCAGTTCAACATATTATTGCCGTTGAAGAAGAGACTAAAACAAGCCGAGTTTAAATGTATTGACAGTGTGATTGCTGAGGATAGAGGACTGGGTGAAGAAAAAGAAAAGAAAATATAGATGGATAAAATACCGAGGACCAACAATATAAATTACCAAATGGCGCCACTTTTGAGAGATCAATATATTAACATGTTCACAATAAAGTGGTTGATAAATGCACTATTTGTACCATCGCTGTGCTATCACAGCCAAAAAATTTACAACATGGTGCATAATGAGATGAATAAGAAATGAGGAAAAAAAAAAAAAAAAAAAAAACAAGAAAAGACAGAATCACCAATGAAGAGCTAAGAACAATCGTAGGCACAGTACTGGTAAATGATTTGATAAAACATGAAAGAATCAAACGGTTTAGTCATTGGGTCAGAGTGGAACACAATCTATGACTGACATATAGTCAGAGTGGAACACAATCTATGATTGACATCTAGTCAGAGTGGAACACAATCTATGATTGACATCTTGTCAGAGTGGAACACAATCTATGATTGACATCTAGTCAGAGTGGAACACAATCTATGATTGACATCTAGTCAGAGTGGAACACAATCTATGATTGACATCTAGTCAGAGTGGAACACAATCTATGATTGACATCTAGTCAGAGTGGAACACAATCTATGATTGACATCTAGTCAGAGTGGAACACAATCTATGACTGACATATAGTCAGAGTGGAACACAATCTATGATTGACATCTAGTCAGAGTGGAACACAATCTATGATTGACATCTTGTCAGAGTGGAACACAATCTATGATTGACATCTAGTCAGAGTCGAACACAATCTATGATTGACATCTGGTCAGAGTGGAACACAATTAGCCGGCAGCTAGAGTGTACTGCATGAGAACAACAGGTTACAAGGCAAGAGGCTGACCAAGAAACAGATGGGTGGTGGGAGTAAAAGAGACACTACAGAAACGCAATATGACATTAACACAAGCTACACAACTAGCAAAAGGCAGGAAACCGCATCAAACTCCTCTCAGTGATGCTTCCCAACATAAGCTGGTCTGCAAACAAATAAACCAGACAAATACAACTTCTGAAACAAGACCAAAGTACAGAAGTGGACAAACAACCAGAAATGTCTGTCAGAATTTACAGCCAGTGAGATCATAAGAAGCCAGCAAGCTGAACTGCATCAGCATATAAAGTATTAAAACCATATCTTAATAACTGACAGACAATGACAGCAAAGCGGAGTATATCCTGACAGTTAATGACAGCATAGTGAAGTACATCATGACAGACAATGACAGCAAAGTGGAGTACATCATGACAGCCAATGACAGCAAAGTGGAGTACATCATGACAGCCAATGACAGCAAAGTGGAGTACATCATGACAGCAAAGTGGAGTATATCCTGACAGTTAATGACAGCATAGTGGAGTACATTATGACTTACAATGACAGCAAAGTGGAGTACATCATGACAGCAAAGTGGAGTATATCCTGACAGTTAATGACAGCATAGTGGAGTATATCATGACAGACAATGACAGCAAAGTGGAGTACATCATGACAGCAAAGTGGAGTACATCAAGACAGCAAAGTGGAGTACATCAAGACAGCAAAGTGGAGTACATCAAGACAGCAAAGTGGAGTACATTATGACAGCAAAGTGGAGTACATTATGACAGCAAAGTGGAGTATATCCTGACAGTTAATGACAGCAAAGTGGAGTACATCAAGACAGCAAAGTGGAGTACATCAAGACAGCAAAGTGGAGTACATTATGACAGCAAAGTGGAGTACATCATGACAGCAAAGTGGAGTTACATCATGACAGCAAAGTGGAGTTACATCATGACAGCAAAGTGGAGTACATCAAGACAGCAAAGTGGAGTACATCATGACTGTCGGTAAGTTACAGCGAAAAATGAGCAGTGGGCGACCAATGATAAAGATGCTAGCACTGAAAGTACCTGAAACAGAAGGTTGTGGATAGACATAACTACCAATGCCACATAGCATGGACTATAAGCAGATAGGAGACAAACAAACTAACTTAATTTTTAAAGGGTCACAAATTAGGCATGCAGGCCTGTCTTACATCCAGCCTTTCCGGTCTCCCAGCTTTCACACAGCAGTTGTATTTTAACAAAACGAAAGATGTTATGTTCATATAATAATATGGATATTATGAATATCAAGAACAAATACAAAAGCATGGGTAGTAAAATGCATGCACACACTTGCACGTCCACATACACGCCCATTAGCACAAGTGCACTCATTCACTTTCACACGCATACATACTCACCCGCACATATACATAATACACACACACCCATGCCACACACAAATGCATGCACACATATGTACATACGTACATAGACACACACATACGTGCATAGACACACACATGTACATAGACACACACGCAGACATCCACAGACACACATAAACATCCCAAAAAAACCCACGCAGACACATACCCACAAGCACGCACTCAAAGACACATACACACAGAGATACATACACACATACAAAACACATGCAGACAGAAAGTTGAGGATAGACACGACTATCAACCCTATATGCCATGGAACTTAAGAAGATGAATAACAGCAACATTCTACTACTAGTAAAACATATAACCCCTGGAACCTTACGGGTGTCACACAACATTGTCATATAGTACTACAACTGACCTCATCGCTCAACGGGCGTCCAGTGTCCTTGTCCATTTGAAGCTTTCGGGAGAGAAGGTTGAGGTCGACGTCTGCCTTTTTGAACTAGTTTTTAAAAAAAAAGTTATTACTGGTTTATATTACAAGGCAGACATGGCCAGTCCTAGAAAGACACAAACGCAGAATTACAATATTTGACAAAAGATGTACAAAAAATGTCCATGGAGGAAGGGGGGGGAAGGGGACAGACAGATCACCGATGAACTAAGAACAATGGTAGGCATAGTACTGGTAACAGATGGCAAAGAACATCAAAGCGGCTACTGGTTCAGAATAAAACAAAATCAGCCAGCAGCTACAGTGTACTACATAAGAACAGCAGGCTATAAGTCACGAGGCCAGCAAAGAAAGAGATTGAGTGAGACAGCAAAAGAAATGCAGTATATTAAAATAAGCTATGCAATTAGCAAGAGAAAGGTAATCTGGTAATCTTAGTTTCAGATTCATAGCAAACGGGTCGCCCCATCTTTGCTCCGCTCCTGTGCCAACGAAAATACGCAGAATGTTTATCACAGTCCCTTGTGGAAAGATTGACAGACTGCTGTCTCAGCATATCTAGCATACACACGCATTAAAAGCATACGGTAGCCATCCGAAGTGCTAACACAAACAGTCCGATATTAGAAATGCAGTCAATCACTGATGGTAGCAGAAGTCACCAACATATCAGCAGTTGCACACGCAATCAATTTTGATCACATAAGGGTACCACCAACTCTGCGACAACAGGCACTGCGCCATTTTCTGAATCTACAATTCACACCACCACGTTGGTCACAGTTGAAAAAACTTTCCAAATGAAATCCACAGCTCACAGTGTCACACCATGCATTTAACTCAGAAGCTGGACAATGAAACTATATCCTTTCAGTCTACAAATGGAGCAAATATGCAACGGTCACTGTCTGGCAGAAGCAAAAAATTTGCCTCGGCTCTAAACAGTGCCCGTGCCTAGCATCCATTTTGACCGGAAACAATAACTTCTCCCTGTGACACTTCACATGCAGTAGGACAAAAGAAAATCATAAGGTTAACAGGGAGCTTGATGATGAGAAAAGGGTATCACTGAGTCTCACTGGGAGTAGGTTTCCTTAAGCTTTGTAAACTTTAATCAAATTAGGCTTTCCTTATAAACAAAACTATGCTATATAACAGGGCTATTCAACTAGCAGCCTTCAAAGGCCTAGCAAATGGCCTGCATATGACTGAAATTTGTGTTATATTAATGATCTAAAGACATGTTGAGAAAGGTGAAGACAGGGATGCTTTTTGCAGAGTGGCAAGCTTCACTGGGAAGGTCATGAGTAGTGAGCATACTTTGGATCTTTTCTCCAGGCTATGCCGGCTTAGTGGGTGATGAACAGGCAGACAGAGTGGCTAAATCTGCACCAGTGGATGGTGAATTGACACATGACAAGGCAGATGTGGTCTGAGTACTTTGGGAACAAGCAACGGAATCAGTACAGAAACAAGATTATTATGGCCTGGAGAGCCTGCATGTAACCAGAGGGTCTGGCAGCTTACTACACTCAGAGGAAAGGCAAGACAGACATATAACCAGATTGTGACCGATACCATCAGTATTGGAACTCTGCCCTTGCTGCTGAAGATGAGGACGGAGTATGCATGGGAATGCCCCAAGTGCTTTGATGTCAGTTCTGGACTCAACTCTAATGATCTTTCTATGGTGGGCCTTAGGAATCTAGCCCATGGTGATCCACATTTTCCCATTTGTGTCCCCTGAGTAAACTTAAACAGCCCTGCTAACAATCACAGTCTCTGTAGGTGATGAACAGGTGGGTGTCTGAGGCATGTATCAGTTTCTGTAGGTGATGGACAGGTGGGTGTCTGAGGCATGTATCAGTTTCTGTAGGTGATGGACAGGTCCGTGTCTGAGGCATGTATCAGTTTCTGTAGGTGATGGACAGGTGGGTGTCTGAGGCATGTATCAGTTTCTGTAGGTGATGGACAGATGTTTGTCTGAGGCATGTATCAGTTTCTGTAGGTGATGGACAGATGTTTGTCTGAGGCATGTATCAGTTTCTGTAGGTGATGGACAGATGTTTGTCTGAGGCATGTATCAGTTTCTGTAGGTGATGGACAGGTGGGTGTCTGAGGCATGTATCAGTTTCCGTAGGTGATGGACAGGTGGGTGTCTGAGGCATGTATCAGTTTCTGTAGGTGATGGACAGGTCCGTGTCTGAGGCATGTATCAGTTTCTGTAGGTGATGGACATGTGGGTGTCTGAGGCATGTATCAGTTTCTGTAGGTGATGGACAGGTGGGTGTCTGAGGCATGTATCAGTTTCTGTAGGTGATGGACAGGTGGGTGTCTGAGGCATGTATCAGTTTCTGTAGGTGATGGAAATGTGGGTGTCTGAGGCATGTATGTGTGTAATCGTACATGTTAAAGCAAACATGATGTCACCATTCTGAATCTGTTTTGGTTTATTCTAAGAAACTACAGAGAAAGGCTAACCCTGTCAACAGATATCAAGATGAGAAATCAAAACATTGCAATGTAATGTACATGGATCTGTTGGCAAAACATTGCAATGTAATGTACATGGATCTGTTGGCAAAACATTGCAATGTAATGTACATGGATCTGTTGGCAAAACATTGCAATGTAATTATATGGATCTGTTGGCAAAACATTGCAATGTAATGCATATGGATCTGTTGGCAAAACATTGCAATGTAATGATATGGATCTGTTGGCAAAACATTGCAATGTAATGCACATGGATCTGTTGGCAAAACATTGCAATGTAATGATATGGATCTGTTGGCAAAACATTGCAATGTAATGATATGGATCTGTTGGCAAAACATTGCAATGTAATGATATGGATCTGTTGGCAAAACATTGCAATGTAATGCATATGGATCTGTTGGCAAAACATTGCAATGTAATGCATATGGATCTGTTGGCAAAACATTGCAATGTAATGATATGGATCTGTTGGCAAAACATTGCAATGTAATGCATATGGAGCTGTTGGCAAAACATTGCAACCGTACACGCAACTGTATGATGATAGTTGATAGGTAAGTATGTCATTTGATTCGTGACTTTTCCGCTCCTTGTTTGCAATGCGGCCAAGGGAGAGAACTCCCACTAAGCCGACTTAAGGGAGAGCCGACATGATCTCCTGTCAGATATGATTCGAAAATGAAACAACATTTGTTTTGTAATATACAAACAAATCTTTCAACTTACTAATGCCTCCAAATTGTCAACAGCCTTCTCCATGTCCAGTCTTGCGTGTCGACAAACTTTATGAATAGTAGTTAATCACAGAAGCGATCCTTTACAGTTAGATGTTTGAGACTCATTGGTTCAAACATTTAAACACACTTTCCGCCCGGCTGGTTCACAACACGATCTGGGAGTGACTTCCCTTCAGTTAATAACGTGTGGCTTTCTACTTCTTGTTATGAGTGCCAATTCCACGGCCATCTTTAGCTATAAATAGGCCAACTGGGTCAACGGGGATTCCCGTTCTTGTGCAAGAATTGAGTCCCTCTGTGTTAACAGTTTTTATTGAGGAGATGAATACACAAATTAAACTAGTTTCATTAATTTTCTACATACTTTATAGAACTATACGTCATTTTTAAGGTAAATAAGTGTGCCGAATAAATATAACAATAAAGGCTCTTACAGACAAACAAAAATGCTTTTGCTACAGTCAACATGAACATTAATAACGTTTAGATGAAAACTAAAAGTTGTTTCAGCAAAAGTAAAGAAATATTAGTGCTAACTCTTTGATTCTGAGAGGGTATTCTTGCATCAGAGGAGCGCGGGGGGGGGGGGGGTGACATTTGTACTTTATCAAATTTAGCGCATACAAATACTGCTAAGAAAGATACACATATCATACATAACATAAATATAAATATTTGATGGTTATTATTATTATTAGTAGACTACTACAACATATAATTATACTGTTATTTAATAATTAGTAAACAAGCACAATCAGTATGAAATTGATATGTGCAATACTTTTTTCACCCAGAGTAGTTTTCTTAACAGTACTTATAGGACTACTAAATATGTATCCTCAAGGTACAAACAGCACAAACAAATTTGTCCAGTTTCATCTTGTTGGATGAAATCAATTCCTTACCATTGCGAATTTTTTGGTAAATATGCATAGGAAGTGGATGAACAACCAGAAGTTTCCGCAAGAGTTTACAGCCAACGTTCGCGAAGCAAAGCAAAGCCAGTTTACAAAAATAAACAGACCGTAGAACTGCAAATATGCAAAAGAAGTCGATGAACTACCAGAAGTTTCCACAAGAGTTTACAGCCAGTGTTCGCGAAGCAAAGCAAAAGCCAGTTTACAAAAATTAACAAACCGTAGAACTGCAAATATGCAAAAGAAGTCGAGGAACTACCAGAAGTTTCTGCAAGAGTTTACAGCCAGTGTTCGCGAAGCAAAGCAAAAGCCAGTTTACAAAAATTAACAGACAGTAGAACTGCAAATATGCAAAAGAAGTCGATGAACTACCAGAAGTTTCCACAAGAGTTTACAGCTAGTGTTCGCGAAGCAAAGCAAAAGCCAGTTTACAAAAATTAACAGACAGTAGAACTGCAAATACGCAAAAGAAGTCGATGAACTACTAGAAGTTTCCACAAGAGTTTACAGCCAGTGTTCGCGAAGCATAAGTCAAATGGTTAAGGATTAATATTATTAGTGTACTGCTACAACATATAATTATACTGTTAGTCAACAATTAGTAAAGAGGCAAAGACCGTGGGGTATCCAGATCATGACCTTTAGTATCTTTCTCCTTCTGTGCATGTAAATCCCTTTCTACCTGTGTGGGTTCCGGGGCCTCGTTATTGGGAAAACGAGAATATACCCACTGCCTCCATAACAAGCATGTAGTAAGAACTGATAACCACGTCCGACTCTCTCTCTCTCTCTCTCTCTCTCTATATATATATATATATATATATATATATATATATATATATATATATATATACATATATATATATATATACATACATATATACATACATATATATATAATATATATATATATATATATATATATATATATATATATATATATATATATATATACACACATATATATAATATATATATTTATATAATATCTCCACAACTTAACACGCTCTGTCAGACAGCCCCCAGAGAGCTGTGTGGCGAAGTCAAGCAATTTATTACTAAGTCTAAAATCCATGTATAGAAGGGTAACGAATGCTCATGTCATCTTTAAAAGGTAAAGTCGGGAGATGTAAACCAGGGTCATTGCACACGGTTATAAACCATAAGTGCTCTGTCACCAGTACGGACAGCTGATAGGAAACTGTGTCGCCGTCCCTACGCAACTCCGTAACTACAGCGACGTTCCTCTATTTACCCCAGAGTATTAACTTACTTCCTTACTTAGTCGCTCCTCTTCTACCTTAGGGTGTAGAGGTTTGCCATAGAGATCGCCAGACGTCTCTATTAGCCGTTTTATTTCTGGCTTTTTTCAGCAGCAAAGAGTTCAGATACTAATGGTACCAGTAGCATTCTGATTAAACGTCCGTCTTGCCTTTCCTCTGATGAGAATCCAAACGGATCAAGTCCCAGAAACTATGCTCAACCATATAAAGATAGTTACATTAAAAAGACAGAGACCGCCTTGGTGTAGCGGCTAGATGTTCGCCTTCGGATCGGAAGGTCGTGAGTTCGGGTCCTGACAGAGCCAGGTTTGAATTTGTTTAAATTATCTTGGTTCTCCTGTCGACCAAAACTTCAGCTGGTACCTGGTGCAGTCCTGGGAAGTGAAGGCGGCCAGCGTGATACTGATTACATCACCCACTGAGTGCCGATTGGTCTATTAGGTATAGCCCTATATGCCCAATACACCTGAAGGCGTGGAAAAGGATCCTTTACTTTACTTTAGTAGTCATCCGACAAGATTATAAAGTAATCTGTAGTCAAGTTTGGTTTGGGAATGTGTAGCTAGTGCGCTGCTTGTCCTGAAAAGCCCGCCAATTCACATCTCCACACTTTTTGTGGGGTGCGGGAAAGGTGAGGTATCCAGATCATGACCTCTAGTATCTTTCTCATTTTGGTGGGGTATCCAGATCATGACCTCTAGTATCTTTCTCATTTTGGTGAGGTATCCAGATCATGACCTCTAGTATCTTTCTCATTTTGGTGGGGTATCCAGATCATGAAAAATAACTACGTGTGAAATGTGATGTCTCCGAAGAGTCACCAACAATACACGAAGAGACAGAGTCACAAACGTCAGCATCAGAGACAAAGTTGGAACAAGAGCATGCATGGAACATAATGAAAGACGGAGAAGGAAGTGGTTTGGTCATTTAGTAAGAATGCAACCGGATCAGATTGCCTATAAGGCCTTTTACAATAGAACATCGGGAAGAAAGGCCAGAGGAAGACCCAGGAAAAAATGGATAGATGGAGTAGCTGAATACGGCCAGAAGATCCAGAAGACTGTCACTCAAATCACGCGAGAAGCACAAAACAAATATTTTAAACCACGACACTGGGCTGCAACCCGGTAAAAGTGAAGAAGACAATATATAGATAGATCCAGATCATGATCTCTAGTATCTTTCTCATTTTGGTGGGGTATCCAGATCATGACATTAGTATCTTTCTCATTTTGTGCGTATGAATCCCTTGCTACCTGCGTTGTTTTCGGGGCGTCATTATGGGGAAAACGAAAATATACCCATTGCCTCCGTAACAAACATGTTGAAAGAACTAATTGGAGATTTCCCTTCGAAGTCGGAATGCATCTGTTTGAGAGGCAAGGAACCAAAAATCTGCAGAGATAAATGAGTCAGGCATGCAAAACAGATGTGCACGCAACGATCAAGTTCTAGAAAAGTACTAAAGTCTAGAAGGGAACGAACAACCAAAACTTTCTGCCGGCGTTTACAACCGGTCAGGTATATATATACTTCGACTTCGAAGGAAAACACAGTTAATCGATGCTTACGACATGCTTGTTGCGGATGCAGTGGATCTATTCTTGTTACCATCACAATGGGGCCTAGGAGCCCACACGGGATATTTTTGGTCTGATGTTTGAAAGGCACAACGGAGACCGATCTCCACATTAATCTGGTAGCTTTGTTTTCTTCTTCTTCTTCTTCTTCGCTTTCACCAGCTGTACACTCTGGCGGAAAGTTCTGGTTGCTCTTCCACTACTGAACTGCAGTCCTGCTCCAGAACCTGAGTGTTGCGTGTGCATCAGTTTTACAGATCCCATTCTCTTGAATACAGACTGTTGGTTCCTTGCCTCTCCGGCGGATGCATTCCGACTTCAAAGGAAGCTCCCTAATTAGTCGACTCTTACGACATGCTTTTGGGGAGGCAGTGGGTCTATTCTTGTTTTCTCATACAATGGGGCTCCGGAACCCACACAGGAGAGCTTTGTTTTGATTTCAAGACCGTTAAAGCTGAACATACTAATTATTACAAACACAAATGCGCTCAGTTTAAAACTTGCTTGACCCCCTTTTGAAACTTCCGCATACTCTCCTATGGAAGGGGAGAGAAAGAGAGAGAGAGAGAGAGAGAGAGAGAGAGAGAGAGAGAGAGAGGGGGGGGGGGAATCCTACCCCTTCCACGTTGTAGCCAGACCAGCTCGCTATAGTTAGGGAAGCGTGGGATTGACGGCCCCTGGCAAGCATGACTTGTAAAACGCCTTATGTTCCCGCGCCCCTGAATTAAGCTTAACAATATTCAGTTGCACAGAGGAAATAAAATAAGAGACAATGGATGCTACGCTGACAATCTTTCGACGTGGCAAGAGAAGACTAAACGTTATCACTTTACTGTAAAGTTTACACGTATAGTTTCTTCCTGCAGCCACCGCCCATCGGCTGCTTCCGGTAGTAGTGTTGCCTGTTGATTGGTCCAACACACCATTTGAAGTTTGCTAAACATGTCGGCTGCTATGAAGATGGCTCTACAAGCGCTGTATTTTCTTATAGTTTCTCTGGGTTATTTTGTTTCTGCTGAGTTTATACAAGGCTCAGTTTCGCTCAACAGTGGCGTATTTGATAAGGTAATTTATTGTTATTGAAAAAAGGTGCTTTCGTTTTTATTTACCCCAAACAGACAGTCCAGTATTTTACGGGGTGACACTGGGCTGCAACCCGGTAAAAGTGAAGAAGACAATAGATAGATAGATAGACATATATGATATCATAATATATGGTGCATGCAGTCGTGGGACCTAGGTGGGTTGCGGTTAGGTCCAGTTCTAGGTTTTTTAGGGTAGTTAAAAGCACCACAAAGCCGGGAAACTCGGCTATCTGGGGTGACTTATTACGAAAGAACCTTGAAGAATTCCACAGAGTTAAAGAATGAATTGTTTAAGTAGTTTAACAAACTTTCCGTCAAGCTTCAAATTAGCATTAGGATGGGGATCCATCCAATAATGAAAAACATCGATGGAAATAGCGGCTGTCATTGGGGTACTAGCATTGGTTGGCGTAACAGAAAGCAACTCACGCATTGATAGTGACAAACCCAGTGAGCTGAGCATGCTTAAGAAGATCCAAACTCCGACTAGAATGGGATGTTAGCATCCCCAAGTCCTTCTCAAGAAACCATCTTGTTGGCTGCACACACCTGGGTGAAAGGAAATGAGTCGTCAAACTGGCCGTCGCTGCAGTGGCTGGTGAAGAAAGAAGTATGGGCAGGGTAGACATACTGAATGTGCTGCGTTCTAGAGACATGAGACAAATGAGTCAGAGACGACGAACCACCTGTTAGAAGTGGGGGCTTTCCTCAGAATAATGGTCCTAAATTATCGAGGCTAATACCCTAACGGGGCCTCAGTCATATGTAAATTGTGGACCTCTTTCCTGTGACTACACCGCATACTGCGGAAAAGCTTCCGCCGAGTTAGAGTCACTGCCGAGAGTTTCCCCCACGATGGGGGGGGGGGGGGCTAACCTAGATGGCTGGGACTCAGGAGCAGCAGATACCGCATCTCCTGCAACTTCCTCCATTTTGTTTGCTCATGAGTCCCAGCCATCTAGTTTAGCCCCCCCCCCTCCGCGCCGCACGTAGTGGCACAGGAGATACTCTCGGCGGTGGCAGTATAGTCGCCAAAAAGATGTCCTCAATTTACATATGACTGAGTCCCTGTTAGGTATATTTTCGGCCTTGATAATTTAGAACCGTTATTCGGAGGATAGCCAAAGTAGGTGGTAAACAAGGATGTGTGTGCAGAAACCAGTTGCCAGACAGAGAAAGAAGCTTTACTAGCCTACTTCTATTGGGTGTGGTGATCACGGAGACACTGAGTTGTCTGCGGCCTTGGAGGATAGTATGAATGAGTCAGACCAGTATGCCAGGATGTCCATACAGACAACAAGCAACAAGTCATATTTTGTAAATCAGACAAAGATGAAACCCCACATCACTTTAGATATTGCTAAAGATACATTAGACACAATGATTGTCACAATTATTTTAAAAGTGTACTTTTAACATGCTCCTACAACTGTCACAGAGCTGCCATAGTGTAGCGGATAGACGCTTACCTACAGATCTGAAAATCATGGGTTCAAAGCCTGACTTTAAAAAATAATGGCCTTGGCTCTCAGGTTGACCTAGCCTAAATGAGTACTAGGGAAAGTCCTGGGAAGTAAAGGCAGCTGGTGTGATATTGACCACATCACTAACTGAGTGCTGATTGGTCTAAAAAATATAGATCTTGCCCTGTTTGCCCAGTCCTTTGCAACTGTTACAGTTAATTCATCTGTACAAAATACTGCTATATTACCTAATCATTGCAGTTTGTCAGTTTGCCTGCTGACAACTTTCTATGCCACTGAGAGAAGGCTGTCAAGATTCTTCTTCTTCTTCACATTCACCAGCTGTAAACTCTGGCGAAAAGTTCCTGTTCCAGAACCTGAGGCTTGCGTGTGCATCCGTTTAACAGATCTAACTCATTTGTATGCAGACTGCTGGTTCCATGCCTCTCAGGCAGATGCACTCTGACTTTGAAGGAAGCTTCCAATTAGTCGACTCTTACGACATGCTTTGGGTAGGCAGTGGGTCTATTCTTGTTTCTCCCTGTAATAGAGCCCCGAAACCCACATGGGGAACACGATTAATTATTCTTTATCTTCCTCTATTGGCCTTTTTATAAATCTTTCCAGGTGTCACAACATGTTCTCATTTTCTTCTGAGGAAGACGGAGCACTTACTAGGATGAACTGAGTGCTATAAAGTCCTTGTTTGATAAGACATTCTGCCTGCTCTCATGTTTCCTTCAGGTGGTAGAGAAACACAAGGCTGTCCTGGTCAAGTTTGATGAGATGCATGCATTTGGTAACAAGCAAGATGCATTCAAAGAGGTGGCCAGGGCCAGTATACAACAGCCAGAGTTGCTGGTGGCAGAGGTTCCAGTCTCAGGTCAGTTTTTTAAAGAAATAGTGTTGTCATTGTCCTTTAACACTGCATGTTGTTAGGTCACCAGTTTCTGTTGACTGCCTGATCAGCTACCTCTGCCTTTGTTGGTCAGATGCAGTGGACGTCCTGGTTGCATGCCTGTCAATTCTATGAGTAAAATGTAAAGTAAGTTAAGGACCCTTTTCTAGGCGTATAGGGCATATAGAGCTAGCCCTAATTTTATAGACCAGTCAGCACAAGAAGGTTGATGTGGTCAGAATCACGCCGGCCACCTTTACTTTCCGTGACCGCACCCGTACCCACTCAAGGCTGAAAAAAAGTCTGGCTCCACCAGGGAGGATACCCTTGACCGTCTGATCCGTGGCATCTAGCCGCTCTGCCATGGTGACTCGTCCATTCAGTAGAAGGAAAGTCAAATGTACAAATTGTTAAATTTAGTTTTTCTGTGATGGTGTGTTGTTGGAATATTGCTACACTGGATTAAGCATTTTCGGTTGTAGTACACATTTTATGGACCAATCGTCACTCAGTAAATGATGTGGCTGATGTCAGACTTTACTTTCCAGGACATTTCCTGGTACCTATTTTAGGCTGGTTCATCCTGGGAGCGAAGCCAGTTTTTTTAATCCACATTAGTGCAGTGCGATCGAAGAGATCGAAGCAAGAATCCAACAAGCCAACAATGTCGCATACCAGCTTGCCCCAATTTTAAAACACCCTGCTGTCCCAGCTGAGATAAAAAGACAAATTATAAATACAATCTTTATACCGACATTAGGTTATCAATGTCAGACTTGGACATTAACAAAAGATCACGAGAGAAGACTAACCACCTGTGAAATGAGATGTTTGAGAATGGCTGCGAATAAAACCAGAAGAGATCGAGTGAGAAACGATGTGATTACAAGAACTATTGGAACCATTCCCATCGTTAAATTTATTGAGAAGCAAAGAATGAAATGGTTTGGTCACCTAATGAGAATGGAACCAACGATGCCAGCATCAAGAGCATACAACATGAAAATCGAAACACCAAGAGGCAGGAGAAGACCAAGAAGAAATGGATTGAAGGAGTCACGGACAACTTGAGACTTCATAACATCACGGCATATGAAGCGACTGAGCGCGCCCTGGCTCGGTTGCCGATCATCTGATAGACTGCGACGCCTAGCGGCACAAGCAGATTTTGACAAAGGAAGAAGAAGAAGAAGTGCAGTGCGGATTTGAACCTAAGGCTTTCTCGCCTCATGTGGGTTCCCACGCTCTATTATGGAGAAAACAAGAATAGACGCACTGTGTCCCCAACAAGCATGTTGTAGGAGTCAACTAGTTGAAGGCTTGTTTCAAAGTCAGAGTGTATCTGCCAAGCAGCAAGGAACAATCAACTGCACACAAATAAGCCAGTCAAACAGATGTACATGCAAAATCCAGGCCCGTGTTTCAGTATTTTGTGATACTTTTGTTTCTATCTATGATGACAGTGAAATTGATCTTGTTTCAGTGTCTGGTGAAAATTTTGTTTCTGTCTATGATGACAGTGAAATTGATCTTGTTTCAGTGTCTGGTGAAAATTTTGTTTCTATCTATGATGAGGGTGAAATTGGTCTTGTCTCTTGTTTTAGTGTGTGATGACAGTAAAGTGGAGCTTGTCTGTCAGTTCACTGTTTGATGACAGTGTTGTTTATCTTGTCTCTTGTTTTAGTGTGTGATGACGGTAAAGTGGAGCTCGTCTCTTAGTTCACTGTTTGGTGACAGTGTTGTTTATCTTGTCTCTTGTTTCAGTGTCTGGTGACAGTGTTGTTTATCTTGTCTCTTGTTTCATTGTGTGATGACAGTGTTGTTTATCTTGTCTCTTGTTTCAGTGTCTGGTGACAGTGTTGTTTATCTTGTCTCTTGTTTCAGTGTGTGATGACAGTGTTGTTTATCTTGTCTCTTGTTTCAGTGTCTGGTGACAGTGTTGTTTATCTTGTCTCTTGTTTCAGTGTTTGGTGACAGTGTTGTTTATCTTGTCTCTTGTTTCAGTGTAAGGCGACAGTGTTGTTTATCTTGTCTCTTGTTTCAGTGTGTGATGACAGTATTGTTTATCTTGTCTCTTGTTTCAGTGTATGGTGACAGTATTGTTTATCTTGTCTCTTGTTTCAGTGTATGGTGACAGTGTTGTTTATCTTGTCTCTTGTTTCAGTGTCTGGTGACAGTGTTGTTTATCTTGTCTCTTGTTTCAGTGTCTGGTGACAGTGTTGTTTATCTTGTCTCTTGTTTCAGTGTGTGATGACAGTGTTGTTTATCTTGTCTCTTGTTTCAGTGTATGGTGACAGTGTTGTTTATCTTGTCTCTTATTTCATTGTGTGATGACAGTGTTGTTTATCTTGTCTATTGTTTCATTGTATGGTGACAGTGTTGTTTATCTTGTCTCTTATTTCATTGTGTGATGACAGTGTTGTTTATCTTGTCTCTTGTTTCAGTGTATGGTGACAGTGTTGTTTATCTTGTCTCTTGTTTCAGTGTATGGTGACAGTGTTGTTTATCTTGTCTCTTATTTCATTGTGTGATGACAGTGTTGTTTATCTTGTCTCTTGTTTCATTGTGTGATGACAGTGTTGTTTATCTTGTCTCTTGTTTCAGTGTCTGGTGACAGTGTTGTTTATCTTGTCTCTTATTTCATTGTGTGATGACAGTGTTGTTTATCTTGTCTCTTGTTTCAGTGTCTGGTGACAGTGTTGTTTATCTTGTCTCTTGTTTCATTGTGTGATGACAGTGTTGTTTATCTTGTCTCTTGTTTCAGTGTAAGGCGACAGTGTTGTTTATCTTGTCTCTTGTTTCAGTGTGTGATGACAGTGTTGTTTTATCTTGTCTCTTGTTTCAGTGTATGGTGACAGTGTTGTTTATCTTGTCTCTTGTTTCAGTGTAAGGCGACATTGTTGTTTATCTTGTCTCTTGTTTTGTTTATCTTGTCTATCTTGTTCTTGTTCAGTGTCTGTGACAGTCTTGTTTATCGTGTCTCTTTATTTCATTGTGTGATGACAGTGTATTTTATCTTGTCTCTTGTTTCAGTGTGGTGACAGTGTTGTTTATCTTTGTCTCTTGTTTCATTGTGTGTGTCTCTGACAGTGTTGTTTATCTTGTCTCTTGTTTCAGTGTGTGATGACAGTGTTGTTTATCTTGTCTCTTGTTTCAGTGTCTGGTGACAGTGTTGTTTATCTTGGTGACAGTGTTGACATCTTGTCTCTTGTGTGTTTGTGTGTTATCTTGTCTCTTGTTTCAGTGTCTGGTGACAGTGTTGTTTATCTTGTCTCTTGTTTCAGTGTGTGATGACAGTGTTGTTTATCTTGTCTCTTGTTTCAGTGTCTGGTGACAGTGTTGTTTATCTTGTCTCTTGTTTCAGTGTGTGATGACAGTGTTGTTTATCTTGTCTCTTGTTTCAGTGTGTGATGACAGTGTTGTTTATCTTGTCTCTTGTTTCAGTGTGTGATGACAGTGTTGTTTATCTTGTCTCTTGTTTCAGTGTGTGATGACAGTGTTGTTTATCTTGTCTCTTATTTCATTGTGTGATGACAGTGTTGTTTATCTTGTCTCTTGTTTCATTGTGTGATGACAGTGTTGTTTATCTTGTCTCTTGTTTCAGTGTCTGGTGACAGTGTTGTTTATCTTGTCTCTTGTTTCAGTGTGTGATGACAGTGTTGTTTATTTGTCTCTTGTTTTCATTGTGTTGACAGTGTTGTTTATCTTGTCTCTTGTTTCAGTGTGTGATGACAGTATGTTCTTTATCTTGTCTCTTATTTCAGTGTGTGTGTGACAGTGTTGTTTATCTTGTCTCTTTGTTTCATTGTGTATGGTGACAGTGTTGTTTATCTTGTCTCTTGTTTCAGTGTGTGGTGACAGTGTTGTTTTGACAGTGTATCTTGTCTTTTCAGTTCATTGTGTGATGACAGTGTTTTCTTGTTTCATTGTGTGATGACAGTGTTGTTTATCTTGTCTCTTGTTTCAGTGTATGGTGACAGTGTTGTTTATCTTGTCTCTTGTTTCAGTGTGTGATGACAGTGTTGTTTATCTTGTCTCTTGTTTCAGTGTGTGATGACAGTGTTGTTTATCTTGTCTCTTGTTTCAGTGTCTGGTGACAGTGTTGTTTATCTTGTCTCTTGTTTCAGTGTGTGATGACAGTGTTGTTTATCTTGTCTCTTGTTTCATTGTGTGATGACAGTGTTGTTTATCTTGTCTCTTGTTTCAGTGTCTGGTGACAGTGTTGTTTATCTTGTCTCTTGTTTCAGTGTCTGGTGACAGTGTTGTTTATCTTGTCTCTTATTTCATTGTGTGATGACAGTGTTGTTTATCTTGTCTCATTGTGTGATGACAGTGTTGTTTATCTTGTCTCTTGTCTGGTGACATTGTGTGATGACAGTGTTGTTTATCTTGTCTCTTGTTTCATTGTGATGACAGTGTTGTTTATCTGTCTCTTGTGATGACAGTGTTGTTTATCTTGTCTCTTGTTTCAGTGTGTGATGACAGTGTTGTTTATCTTGTCTCTTGTTTCAGTGTCTGGTGACAGTGTTGTTTATCTTGTCTCTTATTTCATTGTGTGATGACAGTGTTGTTTATCTTGTCTCTTGTTTCAGTGTCTGGTGACAGTGTTGTTTACAGTGTTTGGTGACAGTGTTGTTTATCTTGTCTCTTATTTCATTGTGTGATGACAGTGTTGTTTATCTTGTCTCTTGTTTCAGTGTCTGGTGACAGTGTTGTTTATCTTGTCTCTTATTTCATTGTGTGATGACAGTGTTGTTTATCTTGTCTCTTGTTTCAGTGTCTGGTGACAGTGTTGTTTATCTTGTCTCTTGTTTCAGTGTCTGGTGACAGTGTTGTTTATCTTGTCTCTTGTTTCAGTGTCTGGTGACAGTGTTGTTTATCTTGTCTCTTGTTTCATTGTGTGATGACAGTGTTGTTTATCTTGTCTCTTGTTTTCAGTGGTCTGGTGACAGTGTTGTTTATCTTGTCTCTTGTTTCAGTGTCTGGTGACAGTGTTGTTTATCTTGTCTCTTGTTTCAGTGTCTGGTGACAGTGTTGTTTATCTTGTCTCTTATTTCATTGTGTGATGACAGTGTTGTTTATCTTGTCTCTTGTTTCAGTTGATCAGTGTGTTTATCTTGTCTCTTGTTTCAGTGTGTTGTTTATCTTGTCTCTTGTTTCAGTGTCTTGTTCATCTTGTCTCTTGTTTCAGTGTGTGATGACAGGTTGTTTTTTATCTTGTCTCTTGTTTCATTGGGACAGTCAGTGTCTGGTGAGTTGTAAACGTCTTAACCTCTTATTTCATTGTGTGATGAGTGTCTATCTTGTCTCTTGTTGACCGGCACAGTGTTACGGGCACTCTAGATAGGCTGATATATCGTTTGTACACTGTGCATATAGCTGATATGCTCTGCTTGAGAAAATTGTATTAGAGAGTAAACGCTGTGAATAGGTCAGAAGCATTTTAAAATCACTCTTTACCTCCCTCCCCTCACTTGAATCTGTATGCCTGGTCATGCCATCATAAAAGGTAACGAGCGAGTAGGCCACCTGGCAAGCAGTGCACCAACTCATGTGGGAAGAAGAATGGACAGCAGATATTATCAACACTTTATGGACTGGCCTAGTGGATAATGACATATCTCTGACACTAACATGATTGCGTGACATGGGAGTAAAGCACAGTGAAGCATGTCCATGCCACCTTTGAGGCCAAGATAGGAGGCGGACATTATAACCAGTTGCTCATGGGAACAATTAGTGGAAGTACTTGGAGGACTGAGCATGCATAGAAATGCCCAATGTAAAGATGAAGGATGCATAAGTGCTGAACCACACATGGTGGTACACCAACAACCAATGCATAAACTGGTCTAAACCCATCAACACCTCTTTGGTTTCATCATAGAAACAGGTTTCCTGGTGGAGAGGGGGGGGGGCCTGGCCAGTGTAGACAGGATTGGTGTTGCCTTCAAAGTCAGAGTGCATCTGCATGAGAGGTGAGCAACCCACATTCTGCACACAAATAAGCCAGAGCTGTAAAACAGATCTGAACACACGTTCTGGAACAAGGCTGAAGTCCAGAAGGGGATGAAACACCAGAACTTTCCACCAGAGTTTCCACAGCTGGTAAACGTTAAGAAGAAGAAGAAGAAGAAAAAGAAGCAAAGGCAATGTGAATTAGATGTCAATTTTTTTACCTCTGCAATCTGTTAATACTACAGGCCACCTCTAATACTACAGCCCACATCTAATACTACAGTGCACCTCTAAACTGCAGCCCACCTTTGATACTACAGCCCACCTCTAATGCTACAGCCCATCTCTAATACTACAGCCCACCTCAGATACTACAGCCCACCTCAGATACTACAGCCCACCTCCAATACTACAGCCCACCTTTAATGCTACAGCCCACCTCTAATACTACAGCCCACCTCAAATACTACAGCCCACCTCTAATACTACAGCCCACCTCTAATACTACAGCCCACCTTTAATGCTACAGCCCACCTCTAATACTACAGCCCACCTCTAATACTACAGCCCACCTCAAATACTACAGCCCACCTCAAATACTACAGCCCACCTTTAATGCTACAGCCCACCTCTAATACTACAGCCCACCTCAAATACTACAGCCCACCTCTAATACTACAGCCCACCTCAAATACTACAGCCCACCTTTAATGCTACAGCCCACCTCTAATACTACAGCCCACCTCTAATACTACAGCCCACCTCAAATACTACAGCCCACCTCAAACTACAGCCCACCCCCCACCTCTACACTACAGCCCACCTCTAATACTACAGCCCACCTCAAATACTACAGCCCACCTTTAATGCTACAGCCCACCTCTAATACTACAGCCCACCTCTAATACTACAGCCCACCTCTAATACTACAGCCCACCTCAAATACTACAGCCCACCTCTAATACTACAGCCCACCTCTAATACTACAGCCCACCTCAAATACTACAGCCCACCTCAAATACTACAGCCCACCTCTAATACTACAGCCCACCTCTAATACTACAGCCCACCTCAAATACTACAGCCCACCTCTAATACTACAGCCACCTCTAATACTACAGCCCACCTCAAATACTACAGCCCACCTCTAATACTACAGCCCACCTCTAATACTACAGCCCACCTCTAATACTACAGCCCACCTCTAATACTACAGCCCACCTCAAATACTACAGCCCACCTCTAATACTACAGCCCACCTCTAATACTACAGCCCACCTCAAATACTACAGCCCACCTCTAATACTACAGCCCACCAATAATACTACAGCCCACCTCTAATACTACAGCCCACCTCAAATACAACAGCCCACCTCTAATACTACAATCCACCTCTAATACTACAGCCCACCTCTAATACTACAGCCCACCTCTAATACTACAGCCCACCTCTAATACTACAGCCCACCTCTAATACTACAACCCACTTCTCTGGGTAGCAGAGGGCGGCTGAAGTAGCCTGGATCAGTGTCTGGAAAAGGAGGCTCTTGGGGTGGGATGGGGGGGGGGGGGGGGGGGGGGGACAAGACTAGGATTTTTTTGTAAGGCAAAAGTGGCATGGAATTAATTATACATTTAATTGCTACATTCGGATGACCCCCAGTTTTAAACTTGAAAAAAAAAAAAACATATGGGCAAATATTGTCTTGTGCACCTGAAAATGTGGTAGTACTTACTTAGTCGCTCCTCTTCCACTCTTTCACCTTGGACCTTGGGGTGTAGAATTTACCAGAGTGATCGCCAGACTTCTCTAGAAAATGTGGTAGTTAAGTTTTAAAATAACAGTTCTTCCAAGCTCTGTTGTGTTTCTGTTGACAGATCTATGGCTGGGCCGAACCGGATGCGTGGAGGAATTTGATAAACTGGTGAAAGAGTTTCTGGGCTCAGCCAAGGACGAGAGAGCTGCATTGTTAGCCAAGGCTGAACAAGCTGCCCAGTGGCTGACCCAGGAGGGAGATAGAGCCTCAGCTGAGGTCTACATCAAAACCCTGAGGAAGGTGGTGGAGAAAGGGGACAGCTTCATCAAAAATGAGGTGTCTCGAGTGGAGAAACTCCGAACTGGGAAAATCACAGACAAGAAGAAGGATGAGCTGAACAATAGACTCAACATTCTAGCCACGTTCCAGGCAAATATCAAAGATGAGCTGTAGCAGGGACATTAGAGGTGGGCTGCAGTATTAGAGAGGAGGCTGTAGTATTAGAGGTGGGCTGTTGTATTAGAGTGGAGGCTGTAGTATTAGAGGTGGGCTGTAATACTAGAAGGGAGGCTGTAGTATTAGAGGTGGGCTGTAATACTGGAAGGGAGGCTGTAGTATTAGAGGTGGGCTGTAATACTGGAAGGAAGGCTGTAGTATTAGAGGTGGGCTGTAATACTAGAATGGAGGCTATAGTATTAGAGGTGAGCTGTAATACTAGAAGGGAGGCTGTAGTATTAGAGGTGGGCTGTAATACTAGAAGGGAGGCTGTAGTATTAGAGGGGAGGCTGTAGTATTAGAGGTGGGCTGTAATGCTAGAAGGGAGGCTGTAGTATTAGAGGTGGGCTGTAATACTAGAAGAGACGCTATAGTATTAGAGGTGGGCTGTAATACTAGAAGGGAGGCTGTAGTATTAGAGGTGGGCTGTAATACTAGAAGGGAGGCTGTAGGATTAGAGGTGGGCTGTAATACTAGAAGGGAGGTTGTAGGATTAGAGGTGGGCTGTAATACTAGAAGGGAGGCTGTAGTATTAGAGGTTGGCTGTAGTATTAGAGGTTTGCTGTAGTATTTTTGGGCATTATACGTGGGCTGTAGATTTAGAGGTGAAACTGTCATCAGTAGTATAGTATTAGAGATGGGCTGTAACATTAGCATTTATGGTGGGCTGTAACATTAAAGGAGGGGGGGGGGGGCGCTGTAGTATGAGAGGCATGCTGTAGAATTAAATGTTGGCTGTGGCATAAGAGCTATTCTGAGAAAAGTAGGTCTGATCTTCAATTAATAATGATTATATATTTTTTTATTGAAGACATTTTTATTTTATGTTTGACACAAAGAAATCAAAACATTATAGCATATGAACAGAAATGTGATCAATCCTCAAATGACACTTTTATCACCATGAAGTGCCTTGAGAAGAATCAGCCTACAAGAATCTTCTCTCTCTGTCTCAATGAATATTCCACCAACCTATACATTTTGCACCTTTGTTTCTATTTGTCACATTGTGTTTCAGTGTTTTCTCTTCTTGCTTCAGATTAATCACTGTTGAGGGGCTAAGTAATTTTTCAGATTATACTTAGGGGCTAAGTAATTTTTTTAGATTATACATTGGGGCAAAGTAATTTTCAGATTACGCATTGGGCCTAAGTAATTTTTCAGCTTTCATCTCTAAAACCACATTCTATATCACAAACTATACATTGTGTGCTAGTTTATGATGGCATGTCACACTGGGTATATATTCTATGTCGGTTAATGGTGACACCTCACACTGTATATTCCATGTTAGCTTATGGTGGCACATCACACTATACAATCCAT